TTTTGTACCTTGACTGAATAAAGGATAGATGTTAGCGCACACCTATAAAGGGTGGGCCAGAAGTCCTGACCCGATTTGAATAATAAATTTTTCTATAGTGAAACAAGTGGTTGTAAATTTGTCTCTACGAAGAAAAGATGCAGTAGAAAACGCTCTACAAAATGACGATTGATTGACTCCGTTAGCTCATCTAGTGAGAAACTTATAGGCTTAGAAATGTGTTTCACAAAAAAGAAAAATCGACCGTGAATCCGGTCTATATGGTGATGCTTTCAGTAAAAGTTCCATAACTTCATCAAAACAAAACGTTTTTCGATCGGGTTTGTTTTGTTTTGATCAGAAATGATTACTTTTCTCTACCTAGCTGCAACATCAAAACTTCGATCACGTTTTCCGTTTCTTGCTGGGTAGACTGTCGGAAACGGGGTTGTCGATTTCTGACATATTTTTGAAGCTTGATTCTCGAGCACACCATCTGCTCTAAAAGGTTCTTTTACAAAGCACAAGAAAGAGCACATTTGAAAATACCCAACAAAAACTGAATTCTTGCTTTTGCTCCGCTTTTTTTACGGAAATAATAGAAGAAGAAGTTCAAGTAAAGAAAACCAAATTTACAAAGTTTTCATTTTTTTCGCCTCGTGTATAATTTCCTTAGTTTTCTTGATTGAAGTTCTGAAATTAAAAGTTTAGGTACGATTTTGTAGAGAATTTCACGACGCTTTTGTTAAAAAAAGAATTTGTTCTAGGGGACCTAAGGAACAGGAGTTAAAGGAAAAATACCGAGACCGGATTCACGGTTAATTTTTCTTTTTTGTGAAGCACATTTCTAAGCCTATAAGTTTCTTACTAGATGAGCTAACGGGGTCAATCAATCGTCATTTTGTAGAGCGTTTTTTACTGCATCTTTTCTTCATAGAGACAAATTTACAACCACTTGTTTCACTATAGAAAAATTTATTATTCAAATCGGGTCAGAACTTCTGGCCCACTCTTTATATGAGATGTATGAGACTTCTGAGACTATGTGGGTAAGTGATCGATAACTTTTCTTTTGAAAATCGCGACTGCCAACATACTTTCAGCTTAAAAGGCGCCACAATATCCGGATTCGACCGAAAGTAATCTCTCAACGCATATTTACATTAATGCTTCTTTCCCCTCTTATTGTACTGACAGTTTTTCATATCACTTCATCTTTTTTTTTTTTATTTGTGTCTCGCTTCTGCCAATTTTTCAGCTTTATCGAGAATTGCATTTGTTGTACTCATTCACGAAAAAGGCGCTCTTGACGTTATCTGTAACTAACATTCTATCTCCCTTCTTCCTGAAGCCTTTAAAGTGTTTGAGCTTTTGATTTATAATTTTCTGTTTTCTTATCTTTCAAAATATTCCTTTTTTGTAAATAAACAATTTGGTTTTCATTCTAAACATTTTAAACTTTGCCACTGTTATCCGTATTCGATTACCCTTACAAAAAAAATTTTCAGTGTGGCACTTGAAAGAAATGGATGACACTGCCAGTGCGCTGACTCACAGTGATGCACACCAGATCGAATCGTAATTTTGTTTGATACGAATGCGCACAGGTGTAAAACTTGAAAATTTTTGTGACATTAGTGCGCATCGGTGCTGATAAAATAAAAAATTTCTTTACTCGATTACTGACACTGGCGCGCACCAGTGCCACTCTTCCTTCCGCTACATGTTCTCTGAAAATTAGTCAGTTTGTAGAGGACATCTAGGTGCATAATTCCTCCAATTTTTTCTTTGAATGGTCACATGGCCTCGAAGATACAGCCCGAGAAAGGTGCGCCGATCCTTCGAATTATTAATTTAGTTGGCTTATCAACTGACCGGTACTTATAGAAAACTACTGATGTGTCGTTTGTGTTATCGCTAGACTATCTTCGAAACAATTTTTTTCTGTTTAGTACAATATCAATGAGAGTTCAACAGCGATTAGTACAGATCTGTATTGAACTTTTGACTTTGAACAAGATACAGTAGATAATGATTGTGTACGATGTTTCTTCGCCGAAGAACGTATATTAGACATTGATTTAGAATGACTCATCTTATCCTTCGATTTTAATTTTAAATGACGCTTCCAACTAAACGCATGTGCTGTATTGTATCTTAATGCATTCATTTTTGGTTCTGTTGTTGCTACTAAAACCAAACTTTCGCTGTTCTGCACAGCAGAACGTATTAGATGTTCTTGACCCTGAGATTGACTAGAATCACTTGGAATATAATCTGTCTCTGTATTAGACATTATAAACAACTAACTTATCTAAAACTATGTCAGACTTTTTAGGTGGTATTTTGAATATCGTATTCATAAGGATACAATATGAAAAAGTCAGATGGATGTGTTTTTACACAATTCAACAAACTCTAGTCATCTGTACTAGCATTTAAAAATTGTGGAGATTTTTGTATGTTTTGGTCTGCTTTCATATGTTAAAAACACCTAGAATTTGGACCCCCTTCCCTCAATATTTTGACCATCAATTAATTGGACCATAAACAATCAATTTTCAGACAGCTCAGAGTCTGTCTTATTTTGTACAAAAATGTACGGTGAACAATTCTAGAGGACAAATATTTTTGCCAACATCCATAACTGACTGCCATCACGAGTAAGTTATATGGTACTACCATAGCCTAAGGCTGTATCTCCGAGTCCACATGACCATTCAAAGAAAAAATTGGAGAAATTATGCACCTGGATATCCTCTACAAACTGACTAATTTTGAGAGAACGTATGTACGCACATCTCCCTTAATTGAGCACAAAGGCTACCACAAGTGCCGCCGAGAGTAGATGTTACATTGTCCATCAAAAATTTGCCGCGTAGAGGTCTAAACATGTCCGTTGGAATCGCGATGATCGATTCCCTATAAAGCGAGGGATCGTAATGTGCCGAACTAAACAACCGAGTTGTCTAGAAATCTCATGGGACGATAGCTATAAAGTTGCATCAAAAGCGAAAAGGATCAGAAAGGAGTCTCCAATCTACTGTAAAAATATCAAGTCTTGTTTCATTTTGACAGCATTTCTCTGAAGAGCTCTAAAAGAGAGGAGGGTAGCCTTAAATGTTTTATGCACATGTCGTAGGTTTGAATAAGCTTTATTATCAACATGCTTTATTTATTCGATAATATATCAGTGGATTAAAGAAAAAAATTCTCTGATAAAAAGACGATCTTATCACCAGGCTCTAAAACTTCTTTCTAAGTCGACTGAATGAGGTGCCAGAAATTAAAAGTTCGAGTAAGGTTTTTTTTTCCATTTATTTATGCATGATTGGATAGAGCGTATCGAGCTGAGTAAGAAAAAGTAATTTCTAATTTTTTAAAACATTTTTAAGGAAGAAAAATTGAAAAAATTCGAAAGACCTAAAATTTTGAAAAATCCTTCGGTTTCAATAAAATAGCCCATACATTTCAATTTTCTCCATCAGAGATCATCTTCTATGCAGTAAAAATATCATATTCGAAATCAGTGTCGAAACTGAGTCGAATGATATACTTTTTTTATCATTTCCAACCACCTTATTATGTTTGAATTTTCACGTCGAGAAACTACTGAGATTTTCATCAAAAAATGAAAATCAACAAAAATTTTCGAAATATATATCGTTAGACTCAGTTTTCGACGCTGATTCTGAATATGATATTTTTATCGCATAAAAGATGAGTTAAATGGAAAAAAATCTTACTCGAACTTTATATTTCTGGTACCTTATCAGTCAGTCACTCGTTTCTGCGCATACTTGTTCGTACAGATTTAGGGAAAGGATCAATCAAATATACAACTGTTGTAGACGATACATCTTCCTGATCAATAATCCTGGAAAAAATCCCGCAGTTGTTATACTTATAGGACAAAAAACTTTGAAAATTTGTCATAAAGTCATTAGTTCTCAAATACTATGTATCTCTGACTTTCAAAGATTTTGTCGGGAGTCCCATCGAAATCCGCCGAGACTCCTTTTAAACCGAGAAGTCCGCATGGTAGTATCAGGACTTATGAGAAAATTCTGTAGGATTTTTCAATTTTTTTTCACGCCTTTTTGAGAGATTTATCGCGAGAAAGTCAATTAGGGCTGACGTTCTTTTTTTATATCTATTTTAATTATCGTTTAATTAGTACCACAAAAAAGGACGAGGATTTTTCTGCGCACGGTTTTTTCCAAAATTATGCACGATTTGCTGTTTTTCGTGCACTAAAAAATCTTTTGACATTTTTGTGCACGGTTACAGACGGGTGCATGGCAAAAAGACACAAATGTGCACGGAGATGTTTCTGTGCATGGTTTTTGAACAGGAGTTGGAGCACGAGTTGTATCAGCTCTTTTTTTATGATTATGTGTATCACTTGTCGACACAATTATTTCATTTTGAGAATTAAATAATACACGAACTTGGAAACTAGATTCTGGATATTTTCTACATGACGAACAACGATATGTAACTTTAATGCCATCTTTCACATTTTCCGTTCGAAATTTTGATACTTTGTTATGATTTAAATAAACATCCAAATTATCTTTTTGTAAATATTTATTAACAAAACTCCAAACTTTTCTTGACATGATTTTTATTTAAAGAAAAAATATTTAGAGTGTATTGAGAACCGTGTGGGTTGAATTAATTCTTAAAGAGATGAACTTCACTCTACACCAATGTTTAAGATTTATCATACATTTCAATCAATAAGTCTCATTTGTATTAAACGAAACGTCTGTTCGTAGATCATCCTATTTGTTTAGGTCATCGGCATGTAAAACGCAAAAATATCTTTTACTCCTTGAAAAACCGTGCATAAAAACGTCTTCGTACACATTTCTATCTTTTTGCCGTGCACCTTTCTGTAACCGTGCACAAAAAAGTCAAAAGATTTCTTAGTGCACGGAAAATAGCAAACCGTGCATAATTCCGGAAAAAACCGTACACAAAAGACATTTTTCCCCACAAAACGATCACAACTTTTCCATTCTATTCTATGAGATAATTAATGGTTATGTACACTTAAGAGCGTACATAGACTACAGAATATATTTATTTGCAGTAGAACTGAATAAGGGTCGATTACGTCAAATCTCGAGACTTATTCATGATACTTATGCAGATGTACACATTATGACAAAAAATGTCGGTCTTCAATAACTTTCAAACGAAACTGAACTATTACATATTGAAGTTTAAGAATATTCGTACGTCGTGGAAAGAAAATTGTCGATTGAACATATATGCACAGAAATGGCACTGATTTTTGGAGCAGAAAGAATAGGAGTTTTAGAAGATTAACTGGAGTACAATTAATTGATCTAGATATTTCAATTATTGACTATTTTTTTACGCTAATACGCTGCTATAACATTTTGTGTGGATACCATTTATAAATAAATTTAGGCAGCATGTATTCTAAAACTATATCAAACTATCTATTATTTTTTAATACGCTGACTACATACAATGCAATGCTATTGAATATTATCAGGATGATCATAGCGCGTCTGACAAATCATAAGTTTGCGAATATTTATTTATTTTGTTAAACTGCATTGATATTAGTTTAGAAGAATATTTTTTCCAACAAGAAAACAGACACAACATATTTTCTCGTTTGTAATGATAACACGCTAAATAACATGTAGTCAATCAATAATAATTTATTTATTCAGATCTAACGAAAAAGAATAAAACCTAAAACAAATTCGAATAAAATAATTATGAAGAATCTTTTTTTTTGCTAATCAGTCCTTCATTGTATTGATAAGTGTCACATAAAGGCCAACGGCAAGATTAACCTAATACCTAATCTGTTCCATAGTCGTTTTAATAATTTGCAGATATCTTTCCTTTTATAGATTAACACACTCTAAAAAAAATGCGACTTAGGATCAAATTAAGTCGCATTAATGTGTCTTATTTTCACAGAATAAGGCACTTTAATACGACTTAATTTGATCCTAAGTCGCATTTTTTTTAAAAGTGCAAACATAAGTTAATCAATGTGTTCACGTAACTAGTTCATATCTAAACCAGTAAAAGTTCAAACGATGCCAGCATACTTTTTGCTTAGGAAGCTTTTTAAAAACAATAAGTATCTTTCAAGAAAACCTGTATCATATTTTACGCAGATTTCAATAGAACAATTTAGAATATTTTTGTGATTAATGAAATATGTGTGTAGGTATATGAAGACTAGTGCCAAATTTATTAACAAGTAAATTAATCAAGTTAAATTAGATTTTAATGATAGTATATGAGATAGAGAAAAGGGAAAAGATTAGTATTTTTTTTGCCTTTCTGCTTTGATGTTTAAAGAAGAACATGCCTTTCATTTCACATTATTAGTAAGGTGACTTAATTGACTAATACAGATGACTGAACATTCAGAAAAACTAGATAGAATATATAATAGATAATTTTCACTAAAAGCAGATTGTTGATGCTGCTTTATTCATTCTATAAATACATGCAGTAAATTGTGGCATAAGGGTAAATGTATGTGTATACAAGAGCAAATTGTGTTTCCGAATGTTGAACTTAGAAAAGTACTTGGTTAAGTAATGTCCAGAGTATCTGGAATGTTTTACCAGTAAAAAAGGTACTTATCAAGTAATTTAACAAGTATAACTACTAGATAAGTACTTCATCAAGTATTTGGTAGATAACTTGGTAAGTACTTGTGAAATATATGCAAATATCCGAAGTTCTTCTAAATACCTGGCACATATGAAATCTAAAAATGCTTGACAATTGCTTAACCAGGTACTTTAGAAAATTTACAAGTAGCTGAGTACTTCACAGGGACGTAAATAGGAAGTCAACTTTGGGGAGGGGATGAAAAAAAATTTTTTCGGGAGTGTAAGAAAAAACATTTTCGCTATGCGACCAAAAATAACGTAAAAATATTTTAATTTCCGCTGGGAGGAAAGGACAAATTTTTATTTTTGGGGGGTGTACACCCCCTCCCTACCCGTAGTTTCTGATCTAAAGTATATTCACCAGGGTATGGAAAATAAGCATGCAGCTCAAATTTGGTATTGCTAATCTATGCGGTTGCAAAGATATTTATGTTTATTAAATCATCTTCTTACATGGATTTTTTTGGGTCATAATAGTACTCTTTTTCTCAGCCTCTGCAAATAGACGATGTTGATGTCAATATTTTTAGAAAAATTCAGACAATCAGTTCGCTTAGAAAGTGCAAAGAATAGATTAGAAAGGATTTTATAGTTCAGAGTTTATACGGATTTCTTGAAGTAAAGTGAATAGATAATAGTCACAGTTACGACAAGTAGCACATCTCAGTATTAATCTGGTCGTCGCTGTATTTCTCCAATAATTAAGATTAACAACTTGAAACTCGACAACTATCAGTAACTTGTTAATGTAAAATCAACAAAAATCTCAAAACTGAATTATTTAAATGTAATATATTCGCCTTAGATTATACGTGTTAGATCTGAAAGGAAAAAAACAAAGTTTTTCAAAGTATTACAGTAAAATTTTACACTTGAAATAGTAAATCGTTTTTCTAGCTCGTCTACCGTTTCCCACCGTTCTTCATATATATATAAGAAAAAGAGTAATGAAAATCTACTATAGACGATGCAAAAGAGATAAAAAATAATGTGAAAAGATGGTTCAACGTTAACAGAATGAAAATATGAAGAGTTTTTGACTGGAACATCGCACAAAATAAGAACAAGGAGCATGAGAGAACACAAAGAAAAAACCGACTTTATTTAATCTTTAGACAATCAACGACACATTTGTCCATATAACACACCTTAATTAACTCGTCTAATCCATATGTTATTGTAGTTATTCAATGTTAACGGTTTATGATTTTACCGATTTTTATATTTTCTTTAAATGACGTTATTCACGAAGAACGACAACATTATTGAAATGGAAGATAAAAATAAATCGTATGGATTTGATATTGGCGTTGAAGGGTTAAATCAGTTGATGAAATTACGTGGAAAAGAACTGATTGATAGATTAAACAAAGATTATGGTGGACTAAATGGTCTCGTACAAAAATTAAAAGCAGATTCAAAAAATGGACTACAATTAGATAATGAAACCGCTTTGAAACAAAGGCAAAATGCGTATGGAAAGAATGAAATACCAGCAAAACCAATGAAAACTTTTTTAAAGCTATGCTGGGAAGCATTGCACGATTTAATGTTAATAATTCTTCTTGTTTGTTCCTTTGTGTCTATTGGACTCTCATTTTACAAACCACCGACAGAGAACACTGAGACCAAAGAAGGTATATGATACACATGCGACGAAAGGAAAACCAATTTTTTGATTTTTATGCTTCAAAATGAGCTCTAACCAAGCTTTTAAAAAATATGCCCGTGTAAAGCGATTCTCGAAATGTCGAACTTAGGCATTGTTTTTCGTATTTGCATGAATGTGGACAGGTAAGTCATTTTACCCTTTGCAAATGGCTTTTTTATCAGGACATATTAAGACCAATATCATTTTAAAAAATATGGAAAAAATCTCAAAATCTAGACATTTATAAGGTGTCCGCAATTCAAAGAAGTAGTACTATTTTTTTCTTAAACATTTATACGTTGGTAGATAATTGGATAGAGTTCACCGAGCTGAACTAAAATATATGTGTTTTAATCTGTGAAAGTGCTTCTGTAATGAGAACCGGAATTTTGGCAATGGTGCAAAAACCGCTATGTTTGCAATAAAATTGATTTTTTCGAATTCCCGTTATATTTTGGAATTTCATAATCTTTTTCTTCTTATTTAGTATGAAAAACTGAATAAGAAAACGCGGTTTAAATCGCGTTTTCTTATTCAGTTTTATATAAGAAAAAAACAACACATAATGGGAATTCGAAAAAATCAATTTTATTGCAAAAATAGCGGTTTTTGCACCATTGCCAAAATTCCGTGAAACCCCGTGATCCAAACACGTGATCACGTATTAAAAAACTTCGAATTTTTTTCTAAACTTAAACATTGCACGGATCCTTTTCTCTACGAATAAACTTGGAGAAGGAAGTTTGGCGGCATTTGCATCAACTGTTAAGCAGACAACAATACTTTATTTTTGATTCAACCGGAACCAAAAAATAATAAAAAATGTTCGTGGTCGAATTCGATTTCTTTGCCCATCCACCATCTTGAATTTTACGAAGCGAGAACGCTACTGATAGACTAAATCGGTAGTTTTGCGTGCCAAGAAGTGCCGAAAAAGTACTGAGGTGCTATACTAAAAAAAGTGCTTTTCCCCCCTTGACTTTCATTCGTAGCGAAGAACAAAGTTAATCCACGTATTGAAGTCATGACCACACGTTGTAAGCGCATTAGATTATCAAAATTTTCCGAATAACGAGTAGCCGAAAAGTTTTTTATTCAGTAAAATTTCCGCTCCTACTAGATTTCGCATAGAATATACTCTTTTTATGTGTCTTGTCTTTCAGCTAATATTGAATGGGTTGAAGGTGTAGCGATTTTGATGGCGGTACTCGTTGTTGTGTTGGTGACAGCTTTTAACGATTGGAGAAAAGAAAAACAATTTCGCGGTTTACAAGCAAAAATTGAGAATGATCAATTATCAAATGTTATACGAAATGGAAAGATTCAACAAATTAATGTACAAGAACTCGTGGTTGGAGATATGTGTCTTATCAAATATGGTAGATATCAACAAATAAACTGTCGAATAATTTTATTTCAAAAAAATAATATTCATTGTTTCAATAGGTGATTTACTACCCGCTGATGGAATACTCGTTCAAGCTAGTGATGTTAAAGTAGATGAATCATCGCTCACAGGTCAGTTGTGACAAATTGTAACTGGAGGTTTTGTTTTTGTTTGAAACCAATTCACTTTTAGGTGAAACGGATTTAATTAAAAAAAATGAATCAGAAAATATTGGACTGTTATCAGGTAAAAGTGCTTTATTATTCTCTTATCATCAATCATTGCAGATTTCAAATGCTTCAGATCGCTTTTTTATCACTTGATGTTTCACTATTTGAATTTTTTGGTAAAATAATACAGTCAATGGTGAAAATATGTGATATTGTAGGAACTTATGTTATGGAAGGAACTGGTATGATGATTATTACTGCGGTTGGTTTGAATTCTCAAGTTGGTCGTATAATGACGTTGCTTGGCACTACGGAAAATAAAGAGAAGAAAAAAGGAAAATCTAAAAATAGAGCGAGTGAGATAATTAATTTACTTAAAGTCTATTACATTTTTAATTTCTAAATGTTTTTAGGTCATAGAATGTCATCTTCAAAAAAAAATGAAAACGAGGATAGGTCAACGAATGAACAGATATTCGACATCAGTGGAAAATTAGAATCAAATAAACAACCTTCTGGAAACAAAGATGATGAAAAACCATTAAGAAAAGAAGAGAAAAATGATGAAAAACGTCAGAAATGTAAGTAATTGTATTACTGTAAAATTTCTCAAACGAATTAAATATTTGATATGATTTTAGCTGTATTACAAACAAAACTGACTCGATTAGCACTTTACATTGGTTACATTGGTTAGTAAACAAAGTATACATTGATTCGAGTGAAAAAACAGTGTGTTTCACTCGAATCAATGTGGAACACAACATCGAGTAAAACACGCTATTTTTTCACTATCAATCAGTTTGTCAATTAATTGATAGAGTCTGGTTGAATTTAATTATCGTAATCAAGATAGTTTCAATAGGACTTGTTTAATCTTATTCAAAATATTAAAGATTTATGTATATAATCTAAGAAATAAAAATAAAACCTTCTAAAATTAATCAATTCTTCACTACATTTTATATAAAAAATAAGAATTATTTTATAAAAAATTTTTAGTGGTGTGAGGTTGCATGCACATAAGAAATCAGTAAAATTCGTATAACCGCCTCTCAGACTGCAACGTTTCTCATCATTTGAGCCATACACCAATTCTACCCATTTCTCGCATAATTTTGGCAGAGTTGAACAAAGATTTGCCACTGAGAGAGTTTTTTATGTTAAAATTGTAGTGTTTGTATTCTTCCTACGAGCTGGTAGATTTAATTAATTTGTTATAATACACAAATTATATGCAATTCTAACAGAATTTTCTAGAATTCTGAACAATACCGCTGCTTGAATGGATCGAATTCAGAAACATCACACTACTGAGAAACTACTGAGCTCTCTTTGTCAGCTGTTTTGGTTCTTTACTATTGATCATAGACAAAGAACCGTTCTATGTTAAATCATCGAGACATATTTGTTGAACATAGATAGATTATAGAAGGATATTGTAACATGAAATACTTTCCATTTTAGGTATGATTGCAGCATTTTTGACTCTCGTATGTTTAATAATTAGATATTGCATAACAGCATATGTGATTAACGGAGAGAAAGGAAATGGTTCACAAGTGCAATACTTCATTTATTTTCTCATACAAGCAATTACTGTTGTTGTTGTCGCCGTACCAGAAGGTAAATTATCGTTTATTAGCTAATAATTATTGTATTTATTGGTTAACATATTATTAGGCTTACCATTGGCTGTGACACTGGCATTAGCGTACGCTGTTCGAGTAAAAATTAAAGAAAAAAAACTTAAATTATAGACCATTCATAGTCCAATCATTTCATTTTTAGAAAATGATGGATGATCATAATTTGGTAAGACATTTGGATGCGTGTGAAACAATGGGTAATGCTACAACGATATGCTCTGATAAAACGGGAACATTGACAACAAATCGAATGACATGTGTACAATTATATATTGGAGAAAAATACTATGAAAAAATACCAAATGTTGAAGAAATTAATTCTGATATAATTTCAATTTCACACGAAGCTATGGCCGTAAATACGAACTATACCTCTAAAATAGAGGTATATGTACGGTGATTAAATTACACCAGTGAAAATATTCACATCCGTTTGTGACTACTTCTAGGAGTCAAATAAGAATGGTGGATTGGCTAAACAAATTGGAAATAAGACTGAATGTGCTTTATTAGATTTAGTTAAAATGTTGAATGGTTCCTATGATGATATACGTCAACGAATACCAGAATTAAAATTTGTTAAAGTTTACACATTTAATTCAGCGAGGAAAATGATGAGTACAATAATTACTAGAGAAAATGGAGACTATAGAATGTACACAAAAGGTGCATCTGAAATCGTATTGTCAAAGTAACGAGAAAAAAAAAATTAAGCATATTAGAGAATACTTCTGGATCTTGGATACTTCTTTTAGATGTAAATATATTCTTGATTCAAATGGTCAACCAGTGGATTTGACTCGTGACGAATTAAATAAAATTACCCATGATATCATTGAAAAAATGGCTAATAATAGTTTAAGAACGATATGTATTGCTTACAAAGATTTTTACAATGAACAAAATTGGGATGAAGAAGAAGAAATTGTTTCAAATTTAATTTGTATTTGCATAGTAGGAATTGAGGTAAAATACTATCATAATAGTTTCACAGTAATTCAATGCTGACTCGTATGTTATTCCTATTCTAAGGATCCTGTAAGATCAGAAGTGCCAAAAGCAATAGAAAAATGTCAACGTGCAGGAATTATTGTGAGAATGGTGACCGGTGATAATTTAACTACTGCTCGTTCAATAGCCACAAAATGTGGTATTATCAAACCAACGGATAAATTTCTTGTGGTGGAAAGTAAAGAATTTAATAAACAAATACGAGATGCTCAAGGAAATGTAAGTCTATTTGAATTTTGAGATGCATCTTGCCGATGATTTATGGTTTATGTATTATTAGGTCTCCCAAAAACTATTAGACGAAATTTGGCCTAATTTACGTGTACTGGCTCGATCATCTCCAGAAGATAAATATATCTTAGTCAATGGCATTGTTAACAGTAAAATAAGCAGTCATCGAGAAGTAGTGGCCGTGACTGGTGATGGCACAAATGATGGACCAGCATTGAAAAGAGCGGATGTTGGATTTGCAATGGTTTGTATACGAAACTCTTTATATGCCACTATTGAAGTAATAGTCTATATATATTACAGGGCATTCAAGGAACGGATGTTGCAAAACAAGCCTCGGATATAATATTAACTGATGATAATTTTTCAAGTATTGTCAAAGCAATAATGTGGGGAAGAAATGTGTATGATAGTGTTGCAAAATTTTTACAGTTTCAGTTAACAGCTAATTTGTCCGCTGGTCTCATATCAGTAATATCAGCTGCAGCAATTAGCGTATGACAACCGAGATGTTCAGACAAAAACAAATAGATATTTTCTATTTTTTTTTTGTTATTTGTAGACTGTTCCATTACGAGCTGTACAAATGTTATGGGTGAACTTAATTATGGATACATTAGCATCTCTTGCATTAGCCACCGAACCACCAACAGAAGAGTTATTAGATCGTAAACCATACGGTAGAACAAAATCTATTATATCAGCAATTATGCTTAAAAATATTATTGGTCATGCGCTATATCAACTTATCATTATGTTAATCATTCTATACCTTGGTAAATATTCATAATTATTTCAAATAATTCAATTATTATAGATAGTACCGATTTTCTAGGAGATCAATTTCTTGAAGTAGAATCTACAGTTAAAGGATTAGTAAATCATCCGGAATTAAGCCGTTTGCCTTCACAACAATTTACTATTGTATTTAATGCATTTGTATTAATGACACTATTTAATGAAATTAACTGTCGTAAACTACATGGTGAAAGAAATGTGTTTAAAGGAATATCTAAAAATCCATTTTTCTATTGTATTTGGATATTTTCGTTTGGTGTGCAGGTTGGTTTCAAAGAGATTTGTTATGCAGAGTTTTGGTTTAACCTATATTGATCATATTTAGATAATTATTGTCACGTTTGGTAATGTTGTATTTAATTGCGTAAGTTTATCGATTCAACAATGGGGATGGTGCATATTATTTGGCATTGGATCGTTAATATGGGCACAGGTACAAAGACAACGGTTATTATCTTATTAGTTGTAAAATTGATGATTATAGTATTTCTATGTTAACTGTAAAAGTAAAGTTCAGACTGGTTTGAGATGGGTCATGTTGTTAGAATTGATCATAAAAAACATTTGGTAAATATTATTGGCATGTAAATCCGGGTTCGGTGGCTTTCATTAAAGCGGTTTTTTTTAATGGAAGTACTGGAACTTTCTGGAAAATTTTTTAGCAGGAGTTTCATTAAAATTTTTTGATGGCACAATAATTTCATTAAAAATTTTAATGAACTTTCTCTTAATCAATTTTTTTAAATGAAAACGTTTTTAACAAAACTCTGATGTCCCGTAAATCCTAGTGTATTATGTTTTCGAAGAACTAAAAAGTTTCATAGGTGTGTTAAGGAATCATTATTTATAACAAAATATTTTTAAAAAAAGTGAAGAATCCAGACACTTCCTTTTTACTTATTATGGACGTTAAATTTCTATGTTGCGTTCATCAATTTCTGAAATATCGTAATGTATAGTCAGAATCTATGCGATTTTGAATGCTGATAGTTGTTAAACATTGTTGATAAAGCGAATATTTTCCAATATAGATTATATAAGAGCTTCATACTACGTGTATAGATGCTGGTGTCAATTCCAATGTCAGTGTTGTATAGCATATCCAATAAATTATGCTGCTGCTGTTTCAATTACCACCATTGTCGTCCTAGAAGCTTAGTTGAAGGTGAAGAAAATCCAGCTGAGGAAGACGATGATTATACGAGGTATTTTACAACTGGAAATTTAATCGGTGCGGAAACAATGATTTTACCCCCACTGCCTGGCTTCACTCAAGTATTATGGCATAAAAGTGTACAGAGGCTACAAATGGAAGTAAGTTTCAAGTTAACTTGTTATATCGTGAATGAGATAGGTGCACTTCTTCATTTAGTTTCGTGTTATTAATGCATTTCGTGTCAGTCGTATAGAAGAAGTTACAGACAGAGGATTGTCATTAAAACGAGACAATCAAAAATTAAGAATACTTTAGTAGATGAACAAGTGTTTCATTAGAATTGTATGATCAATCCTTACTGCTTCAGACGTAAAACATCCTTGGACGTATAATTACACACGCTCAACACTGTACAGTAATTCCATTTTTTGGTTTTAATTGAGATTTTTTTATTATTTCCAAGTTGTTCGTTTCAACCGTACTTTGAGTACGTCCGTGTTTAAAATAGAATAATTGTCAGAAAGTGAAACAAAACTGAGTAAGAAGAAGCACTACGGACTCAGTCCGGTTTATGGTCATAAACAAAATCAATTATAAAATCCAGCTTATTTCTGACCGAGTTATGGATTCTTTTCATTCTTGATGAAAATAGTGCAAAATGGACTATTTCACGAAATATAGCTTTTCAACGAGCTTTTGAATTTCTTTCGAACAAAGAACATTTCCATAAGATTTAACATAGTCGATAATCTGTCTTTCCATTTATTTTCGGTGTCACCCCAGCTAAAGAAAAATGGATCCTCAAGCTCCCAGGAAATCACTCTACATAAACCATGTGTCTCTATAAATCGGGTGTCTCTATCAAAAAACGATGATGTACCTTTCAATTTGAAATGGATAGTAGATCCATTCCCAAAAATTGGTAGCTCCGGTTGTTATTGGTAGCTTCACGGTTGTTTATTTTTTAAATTCTATTCTTTATTTTTGAAAGTGTGAAGGTGTCTGCTGAATTGGAAAGTCTTCAATGACTGAACGACCGAGATTAAGGATTTGGGTATTGTATAGAGACGTAAAGAAAAGATACTGCATCTTTTTGGATTATAACATGAAAGAAGCTCTGTTAAACCATGAAAAGAAAAACTTATGGCTTTTTATGGGCTTTAGGTTTTGTGAAACATACTGTATTTTTACATACACTTTTTTCAAAACTTGATGCTGTGTCAGATGATGAGAAGCTCAACTAAATGCGAAAAGTGCATATGTGTTCGCTATCGAATGCTCTCTCAAGAAAGAGTGACGTATGCATAACCATATGAAAATTCAACTTTTATTTCCATAATACTCACAAGGTAACCTCACTTTGTTAATACCGCTATGTGGCAAGTAATATACATATAAGTTAAATATTTTTCACCAAAATCAAATATGCTGTTAGATTCAAAACCCAATCTACAACACTGAATATCACCTGATTCAAAAGGTAGAAAACCAAAATGGCAGTCCAAGCTCGGATTCGATAACGGTTCTAGCTCAAACTCAGATTGAACTAGACCATAGAAATATGAAATAGTCAAGTAATAATAAGAAAAGTGATATGCCAAACAGTGGATAAAAAAGTGTATTTCCATGCCGGGATAGCCTTTTTGAAATCTCTGAATAACAAATGCAGATACCCTCTGTTTTTTGGTTCTGTGGAATTAGAAATACCGTATTTTACAATGCCATTTTGGTATTTTAGTGTGCCCTTTTTGGTTTTATAAATTTATTTGAGAGTATTTCTAATTCGACAGAACTGAAAAAAAAGAGGGTGTCTGCATTTGTTACTCACAGATTCCAAAAAGGGTATCCCGGCATGGAAATACCCTTTTTTGGTTCTGTACATTACGAAATTTTTTAGAGAACAGTTCATGAATATATGCTTTATTATCCATTTAGAAAATGGATCAATGTTTTGGATACACCTCAGTGAAAAGCGCGAGATCTTATTCACTTTTTGTAAAATGATCTAAACTGAAGTCGCCAGGTTGTTGATTAATTTTTTATGAGAAGGAGTTAGGACAAATTTTGATGAATAGTCTGAAGGTGCAAAGTATCCGAGTACTCTCTAAAAACAAAAATGGATCCTACAAAATCAAACAGAGGATTTCGATCCCGAAAAATCAAAATTGGATTCTTAGTATCAAATGCAGATACACTTTTTTTTGGTTCTATGAAGTTAGAAATACCCTTATCCGTATTTTAAAATCCCGTTTGGATATTTTAGGATATCCAAAAGGTACTCTGAATTTGTTTTTATAGGATGCCTTTTTTTTAGTGAGCATGGCCGATTTGAATCGTGCCATAAACAATTCACTCATGTTAAGAGTACCTCTTTGTTTTTATTTTGTTTAAAAGTGGGAGGACCAAAGATCGAGGACCAAAGCCAAAAATTTTTGTCAAGTGACATTTCAGAAGGAGTTGGGTAGTGAAAGTGAGTGAATAAACAATATCATAGGCGTTGTTCTGATAGTGCGCGATTACATTGGAACTTTTTAGTTCTTTTGGGGAAATTGAAAATTGAGCGCGGAATAGAATGTACTGTGTGCAGTTCGATTTAAATGAATTATTTCGGGACTTGTTTGTTCAAATGTTGAGGCGCTTAACACTCGGCTCTCAAACGTCAGGTAATCGAAATTTTTATCGTTGATGCGTCACACCCAACAGAGATTATAAAATTTTGGGTATGAAGTATTTGTAGTAAAGATACTAGACCAAATGGATATTGGTCACATTTTCTAACGAGTTCAAGAAAGAGGGTGTGGGTATCATCATTAATAACTGTTATGACTTATCGAATAATTGATCATAGATGACCGAGTGAAACAGCAAATCTGATAGTTGACTATTGTAGGGAAAGATCTGATTGAAGGCAATATATAATGTTTTCTGAGCATTTAATAATACTCACCCAGGCAGAAAAAAAGTAACCAAGAAAATCTAGCTTATCAAATAGCTCAAGCGACCACTTCATCGTAGATTTTTTGGGTCAAATATCTAGCTGCGCCGAGCAAGTGTCCACTTGCTAGCTACAAGCGGTCGATCCAGTGGGCGCTTAATTGAGCGATTAGCGTCCAATTCAAACACATCAGCTAGCTTTGACGGGTTAAACATTGGGTCAGGTAGCTGCAAGCGCCTGCTTCACGATTTTTTTTTCTGCTTGGGCAGATGAGAAGAAACTATCATTCTCAAGATAGAAATATAATGTATATCAGAGGTGGGATCGATTCTTGTTTTTTCAAAACCGAACCGAATCGATCCAGTTTTTGAAAAGTTCAGATCGAACCGTTTTTGATACAATTCGGATTTGATACTGAATGGATCCCACTTCTGGTGTAAAGTACGATCGCTTTTGCTCGATAGATCGAAATTAAGAGAGTTTTAATTATAAAAGAATAAGTTTTTATGGAGTAAGAAGTAGTTAAATATTTTGACTGATAGGTATTGTATTCAAGTGTAAATTTAGCATGTTCCATCAAATTCATGTAATTTATTGCACTAGAGTGTGAGATGAAAAAGATGTAAATGTTTTTTGAAAGTAAGATATATTGTATGCTTCAATAATGAATGAATAATAAATGCATGGCAACTATTCGTTTGTTAGTTGATTTATTATATAAAATATCAATAAAATATAATGTAATAGTCGTTGAAAAGTGCTTTAATTAAAGTCAAAAGAAAAATTTATTTATTTATTTATTTATTTTTCTAAATTTGCTATACTAAAAAACAATCATATCAGTTAGCTATTTTTTGGTTTCATATTGTTCGGAGAGCATGAAACAGATGTACTATGAGTAATGTCTGTCACGGTATTGTTGCTCTAACTCCTGTTCTTTAGGGTCCCTACAGAAAATTCTATTTGGAATAGAAGCGCCGTAAAATTCTCTACAAAATCATACCTAAACTTTAATTTTAGAACTTCAATCAAGAAAACTAAGCAAACTATACGAAAGGCGAATAAAATGAAAACTTTGTAAATTTGATATTTTTTTCGATTTGAACTTTTTCTTCTGCAATTATTTTCGTAAAAAAGCGTAGCAAAAGTGAGAACTCAGTTTGTATTTGGCACTTCCAAATGTGCTCTTTCTCGTGGTCTGAAAAAAAATTTGCTTAGAGCAGATAGTGTGCTTGAGAACGACGTTTCAAAAATATGTCGAAAATTGATAAGCTCTCGTTTCCAACAATGTGCTCAAGCAAATAACGGAAAACATGATCGAAGTTTTAATTTTGCAGTTAGGTAGAGAAGAGCAATCATTTCTGATCAAAATAAAACAAACTCGATCGAAAAATCTTTTTTTATGATGGAGTTGTGGAACTTTTACTGAAAGCACCACCATGTGCAGAATTTAACAAATAAATTAATGAAAAATGCAAAAATGGAGGGCCAGGGCTACAAAATGGCTAATTCAGTTTTTCTTACTTTCAAAACGTTAACACAAGAAATCCTTTTCGAGTTTACAATATTTCCATTTTTTTCGCCTTTCGTATAATTTGCTTAGTTTTCTTGATTGAAGTTCTAAAATTAAAGTTTAGGTATGATTTTGTAGAGAATTCTACGGCGCTTCTATTAAAAAAGAATTTTCTGTAGAGAACCTAAAGAACAGGAGTTAGAGCAAAAGTACCGAGATCGTCATTATTTATGCTACATCCGTTAGTTTATTATTTGGAAATGCTTCGAAGAATAAATGATAGCCAAGTCTTGCTAATTTACCATCAGTCTAGAGAAAGATGAAAAATTCTATCGTTGATTAAAAACAAATAAAAATGATATACCCTAATCACTTATCATTCCAAAATCATCAATATTGTGAATAATTTCTTTATCTCATCCACAAACTGTATCATGAATATCTATCTCAGTAACTAGAACAATTTCAAATGGTAAACCAGAAACAGGTTTGACTCTACGTTTACAATCGGAGTTAGAAATACAGTGAATTTTAGCTAAATAAACAACTAAACAGATGATGAAATAAATAAATAAAAAGACATTCATTGTTAACCTGTTGCTTTTTCAAGATATTTAACAGTGTTCTTAATATCTTCATAATGACTATTATCACTGCAATCTAATACTTTAACATGTACACTAACTTCATCCATAAGACTACGACATCTTATCCAATAGCGTATAACCCTTCCATTTTGAAACATTTGCTTGCATGGCATACGACTATAAAGCAATTCTCAAACGCTCGTTTTCTAAATAATTTTTTTCAAACTGTTCGTTTTTGATAATAAAACAAATAGTTGATTTTTGAGCCGGTTTCATACAAAGAATTGTATCTGATTTTATTGTTTCTGTATTATCTTGAATTTAAAATACTATAACTAACTTTATCCGCACTATCAATACCCGATTGTTGATCTTGTACGATATCTTTAATAATATAAGTTTTTCTATTTTGTTTATTTTCTGATATTGTATATAAATATTGTTGAAATGCAACAAGTATTTTTTCATACAATTGTTCATCAACATTTTTCGTTATTTTATTTTGAATAAATTTTCATTCATAATCTTCAATATGTGTCAAAGTATCTAAATAATTTTAGTTTTTGTTCGCCGTAATAATTCATTTATTTTTCCTTCAGTATTTCGGAATGTCAGTCGTCATCTTTTTCTTATCGAATTTGATTAATTCGACACATTAATCGACACTTTAAAATCGATATTGAAAAAAATCGAAGCTGATTCTACTCTCGAAAAAGTGCAACCATTTGCTGATGTTTCGTCGATCAGTTGTCTCCCGAGGGTAAATTCTGATGAAATATGGTGGCATCGAATCTGCCCGAACCGTATGAGTTCTGGCGGTTGGAATGATCCGCCAGGAATATTATAAAATTTTTGAAAACTTCAATACTTTCTACCCGATTTTGCAGACTGAGCATCGAAATTTTTTTCGCCATGAAAGTGACATCTAAAAACATAAAATCTTTTCATTAAGCAACTCAATGCGCTCTATCCAACTGTGGGAAAAAAAATAACATTTTTATTGTCACACAAAGTATGAAATATCGGCACCTTATACCAAACATCGTTAACAATGATGCAGTAGCCGTTGCTGTTTAGAAACAGATCATCAAACTTTTTTAAAAGTTCTTACATCTAATGCATTTCATTGTTTCGTAAATGGGATCAATATCGATCTATTTCAGAGTTCTTTAGACCAATCTCTTATTGGTGAGACTAATGGTGCTAAATGTGGTGTTCTGATTGTACTTGTTTCTGGGGATTTGTCAAAATTAGGTTATCTCTGAAAGGATACAGAGCATCTGCCGTTATATCTTTTATATCTGGCGAATGACCAACTTTATCATTAAGATTATAGCAAATGCGAGCTACGTTAACCTTCTAGAAAACTTCATAGTATCCTTGGTTGACGGTTTCAACCGCCCGAACTCGCGAGGATTGGACAGATCCGATACCAGCTATATTTCATCAAAATTTGTAGAATTTTAGAGGTTTCTGTGTCAGATCCGAATGGATTTGACTAAAATTCTCCATCCCAGATTCCAAAAACGGAGCAGACTGAATCGGAATGTTATCGAGAGTCAAACCTGGTCGAAGCCTTAAATTACTGCGTCGAAAACAGCCTGTTTTAGTTGGATTTGACAATTTTGCTGGTATTACTGCAGTAAATGGGACTACTCTATACTTTACTTACATTTTATTTCTTATGTTACTTTAGTCGTACCTTATTGCTAACCATCCTAAAGTATAACACTTTCGGAAAATCACGTATATTTCAAATTCCATATGATTGTGACGGAATATTGTTTTTAGGTCTTTTAACTTAAATCGCTTAGAAATAGTAACGCATCGGCCATGCTCTTCATAGAGAATTCTTAACAAAACAACAATGAAGTTTCATTAGAAAATAATTGTTATGTTTTAACTCATTAATTACCAGATTTTTGAATTCTGACTTTTTCTACATACAAAGACTTGTATCAAAACAAGGTTTAAAAATATAATTTCATTAATATATTATTTTATGGAATTTTTAGGCTTTCCAAACTTAGATCCCCCATAAATTTTCTTAGGCAATTTTCTGTCATTTGAAAGTCGTGCCGATTATTTTACGAGGCAAATTTTATGCTTTCTTCAACAATATGCTGCATAATAAAAATATTTACATATCTGAAAATAATAGACTCATTTATTTAATATATCTCAAATGGGAAGCATGGTACTTAACGGGTTAAAAAATTCGTCAGATTTGAAATAATTTATTTATGTATCAGGCAAATTTTATCTTTCTTCTTCCATAAACTGTTAATCGGAGTAATTCAATTAGCTGGATTCATGTATAGTTGCTATGAATGAGAAAAAAACAAAAGAAAAATCTTTTAAAAGTACAAGAGATCAATGTCTAACTATATTCTACTTCTTCTGCTAATTATTGAGGTTTCTTGTGTTCTATCAACACATGAAGGATATTCACCTAAATTACAAGCTTTAATTAAAAAATATGTTAACAAGAAACATATGAAAGATGCAATGGAACATGGTGCATTATTATCATATGCTATGACGGTGAATTGTGGTGAATATTTACGTAATATTCCTGGTATGTAATTCAAATGCAATTTTAAACCTATTACAGTCTCTCTTACTCACAAAAGCGATGATAATCCAGTGAAAATTAGAATGCATCAAATGAAGCTAAGCTTTGAGTGTTAGTTTCTGCAGTAATTTATTCATCAGACGATTGAGTGACAGTAAGTGTTACCATACAGAAATCAAGAACGTCCTTGACTACTCGAAATCTATATTCAGCTGTATAGTTAAAAAACTTCTACATATATTTGGGATACAATTTGTTAAAAATAAAACTAAAGCATTTCTGTTTATTATTCTTGCTAGAATTTTAACGTCTTGGACATAAAAAATCTATTAAATCTATATTCTTCCAACTATTAACTTGATTTTTTGTGTCCTATAGTTACCAGTGATAACATATTTAATCTTGTTACATGGTTTTCGAAAGGCATTGATGTTGGCAAAAAATTTATTGTCAGTTTTGAAAATGATCTATTATTTGATTTTTTGATGAAACATGGAGCACGAATAAAGCATGTCAAGCAACGAACAACAGCAACACTTCATTATTATGAATTAGAATCACGTGGAGAAATATATAAATTTTTTTCGTTCAGTCGAATAACTAAAACACCCGTGTATATTGTTACAGATAATAAGAATCCGGATAAACTGATTAGTCTTTGGTTGGGTGATGGTAAGACAAATTTCGTGAATTTTAGTTAAATATTTACCAGTTAGTATCACTGTTTTTAGCTGTTTATTCCACAACGGGTACTTTCTGTATGATACAAAAAGATTATCTTAATAGTACTAATAATTGGATAAAAGTTGTGTGAAATGAGATACAAGCTCTTTTTTGATAGTAATACAGAAAAAATAGCTTTTGAAAAACCAGATTACGCAGTCTCATATTAATAAGTTGACAGCCTGGAGGAATGGTCTCTATATACCTAAAAGCACATTACTATGCAAAATAATTATTATCTCGCAAATTTACCAAACATTTCTGATTTTCTCTTTCGCTTTTTTAGATAAACATGCTAAAACGGTCAGTCGAAATCAAATTCACGACTATATTCATTCAAGAGATGTTATTGCATTATGTAAATCAACAAACTCACTCAATCTGTGTGACCAATATCTTTTCTCGAAATGTACTGCTGAACCTATCGACAGTAGTCCATCACGATCAATAGATGTCAACCATCACCATTACGAGAACGCTGATGGAGCAGGAGTTACACATGTCGTTCATATTTACGAAAATCTTCCTTCCACGAAGTAATTAAAGTACAGCGTTCTATTTACTACACTTTATACTTTCATCTTTTTCGCGCTATTTATTCACGTTGAAGTAAAAGATCAACAAGGTGATTTTCAATCTTCTATTTTAAAAATTGTTCTTTTGGGTAACAATCAAGCTGTAGCAGAAACTGATATATAAAGAAAGAGTAAAACAATGATATTACTTTCTATTTAGCCAATATTCTGAACAACAAACACGAAGCCTGATACCCAGTCTGCCGGCTAGTGATAAACAAAGACCTTTTATAGAACAGCTCAAGCCACCATCGAACGTCAACACTAAACAAAGTTCGTCTGCATGTTCCAATATACCACATCTATCAACACAACCAGAACCATCAAAGACACAATTAACAAAGGCAGAACTAAACAAATTATCAAAACAGGATATAGAACAGGAATATTCTAAATTAAAAATCCAAGCGGATAATTACTGTAGCACAATAGCGCAGTATGTTCACTCATCCGAGTATTAGACAAGAAAATAGAGTAGCAAGCTGGTGTGTTATGGGGGAGGAAAAAGGAGCAACGTTTTATTTCAATGAAGCAATAAAGTCAACACGAAAAAATTCAGAAACTTCCTGAAACGTCCGAGCTGATCTTCTCTTTTTCAATAGCTTATATGTTGACTATATAATCTCTTTTTGTTCTAAATATAGACGACCGCAAAATAGAGAAAAAAATCGTTATAACGATGTGGTACCCGACGATAAATCACGCGTTGTGCTCGCCTCTGATGTAGACGGCGATGGAGATTATATAAATGCAAATTTTATTAATGGTTATCAAAAAAAAAATGCGTATATAGCAACGCAAGGTGAGAGAAAAATTGTACGTTGGTAAATCATTCATCGCTGTTACTTTTAAAATAAGAAAATATTTTTAACGTTTAATCTACGAAGAAATTGTTTATAAAACGTGAATGACATCTTGTATTCTTGTCAGTGTTGGATGTATCACAACAAAGGCTAACAGTCAATAAATGAACTACTATTGAAAATAGAATTTTATGCTATAATAACTGAAAAAAATATTTGATTATTTAGCACCATTAACTGATACCACGAATGATTTTTGGCGGATGGTATGGCAATTTGAAGTTGGAATTATTGTCATGTTAACAAGATTGACAGAAGATAACAAAGAAAAAAGTGCTCTCTATTGGCCTATGAACACGAAATTCGTAACTCATGGACTATACACAATAACAAACATGAGAACAGCTGTGACAAATGATGATTTTACCATTACTGAGTTACAATTGAAGGCAAAGAAAGATGTAAGTATCGGAAACTGAAAGCTACGATAAATTTGTATAATCGCTCTGTTTTCTCAGGAGTAAAGTCAATATGTCTAAACAACATTTCTCTTGTATGCAGCTAAAAACGAACATACTGCTCTGCTGATTGTTCTCTGACACAAAGGTCAGAATATCTTGGATGATATATAACAGGATAACGATATAAGTTTTCTGTCGATAGCAACAAATCGAGATGCTTCTGACGCAGAGTATTTTGAGACATAACAAACAACGTAGTGAATAAAAATATAATTCAAGTACTTTTTCAACGATATCTTTGCAATTTTCAGCACGATTGAATGCATGGGTATTTTCTCTTCTCTTTTTAGTCGAAGATTCATCGCAAAGTCTATCATGCTTACTTTACTGCGTGGCCAGACAGAGCCATACCAGACACACCGGACAGTATGATTCGATTTCTACGAGAGGTTGATAAATGGTCCGAACAAGCTGATGTCAAAGGACCAAAACTTATACATTGTAGTGCAGGCATTGGACGTACTGGTAACGTTGTAATTTGATTTAAATAATGTATCACAGTTCGCATGTCTCACTCCTTCCTTTGAAAGATTATCATGTAAAACCTTTTACTCGGGAGGCATCCGTCATGTTCAGACAAGACGTCTCATCCAGATTCAGATTTCTATAAAAAAAACATTTTGAAAGGTATTTTTATTTCCATTATTTGTGTTTTTACTTTTAGGTACATTTATTACAATTGATATAAATATAAAACGTTATATTAGTGAACAGACTGTTGATATTTATCAAACTGTTGAAGAGCTGCGTAAGCATCGTATTAGTATGATACAAGGTCATCAGCAATATCTTTATTGTTTTACAGTACTGAAGGCTTTAATCGAAAGATTATGAGTTCGGTTAGATTATTTTATTTTCAGAAAGACTACATATATAATCTCATCTACGAATGAAAAGTGATTTACCTTTTCTCTTTATCACATAAACAAACTTTTTATTTTGACAACTTATTTGGAAATGTTTGTTTTATGATTATGCGAAATTAGATATAGTTCACTTCGCCAAAAAATCAACTATGGCTTGAAAGAAATGGGCATGAGCACAGTTTCCTTTTGCTTGAGTAGAATTTACTCTCGAGTTTTCTAAAGTCAATCAGAGTGGATGTTAAAATTTCTACATGGCAGGACGTTTATGCGTGACTAAAAGTTCATTTCATCGATATCTCAGAAAACTTTATGACTAACAGAAAAATCAGTGTCCGACAGTTGTTACTGAAAACAACAAAAACAAACTTGTTCAGTATCATTTTGTTACTTGCATAGAATTTAAAATATTAGTTAACATAATCGTCGATGAAATGGTAGAATGTTATAGGAGCTGATAGTATTCTGCCGTACCATTCTTCAACCTAGAAATGTGTCGCACTCTGAGGCATACGTAGACATTACTATTATTGTTATTTATCACTTGCTTAGATTACAATATTGTTAGACAACTCTAATGCTACCTAACATCCTGCATTTTTCCACCGGTGTTCACAGGATAGTTTAGTATTAATAGAGAAGTCACTTTATACCAACTGCGTGAATCTGACTGGTGAAGATATTTTTCATTTGCAATGTTATTTATAACGAATGACATCGAAATCATTGCCAAGCATCACCATAAATAAATTAAAAATTACAGAATAAAATTTGCTCTCTATCTAGCGCGCCAAACAAAATCTAAGCGTGAAATAAAATCTTCTAAAAGAGTGTATCATTTCTTTTATAATAGTCACTATATGAATAGAAAATATTTTTATTTCATCATAGAGTAAATACATATGAAAATGCTTATCTTTTCATACTAAGATTCTATGTAAAAATATTATTTAAAATCGGTGTCATGATGTTTTTGTTTAACGAAATTAAACGATGAAACACATACAACTCAGAGAAGCAATACGAATACCGACAAAATATGTGAGTCTAATTGTTGAGTACATGTAAGACAAAACAGACCATAAGCTTTCAGCTTTTCAACTGTGACCTACAAAACTATAATATTTATTTCGTTTTAAAATTTAAAACTGTTTTTAGATTAAACATGTAGATTTAAATGAAATTTGTTCTCATCTCACTGATGGATCAAAAGCATTGTCGTACGTGTATAATCATTAAGTATATAATCTTGAGTCTCCCTTCATTTCAATTTACAGTGGAGCTGGTAGTGGGAATCAACGTGGATCCTGTTCATCAAAATGTTTATGGTACAGTTTATCATTAATTATTGCTTTGTTTCTTTGCTCCATCATAATAGTTTCATTAATATTTGTTGAGTTAACAAAAAATAAATCAGCAGTGTCAACTATTGAAATTTTCGAAAGTACAACACTAATGGTCAGTTCAAGCTCAACAGCAAGGACGATGGTATCAACATTATTCACGAGTACGTTACTCTTTTACGCTTTTTTAATAAATAAGTGTCCTTTGTATAGCTTCTATCATAAACACAATGAAAATCACGAATACATTGACGAGTAAGTGCCACTATTTGGTAAGATAATGAAAAAGATTCTTTAATGCTTTATAAACCGTATAGCAGAAGAAGGTCATAGTTTAAAAAACTATCAAATCATCAGCACTGCTTTTGCCTTCTGATGAATACTGCGAGTACGCATCATATGTTACTTTAATAATCACCTTTGAATATGATGCAAGACGCAGCCTTCTTTTACGGCCTTTGTAATCAGTACTATTTGAACTAAAACAAGTAGTTGAATATCTTCTTTATTTTATGAACGAAATAAGGAATGTCACACAAAGCGTTTTATAGCAATGGTAGATGTATGAATTAAACGTTAATCTTTGTCTGTTCGAGTGTATTAGATAGTCGATTGTATAAGTTTAGTTCTTGAAATAATTTTTTATTACAGTTTCTACCAACAGTTCTAGCAACACTGCGAATATCACCACCATAACAACAATTCCCTTTGAATGTTCAAACTATCAGACAATTATAGATCCCACTCGACATTTTAATTATACTACCATTACTGATGGTTGTGATGGAAATAGTACTTTTAACAGTACTCCTAAACATGTAAGATTTGTTGGTATCGGGGGAACAACGATACCTACAATGATACCTTCGATCCATCGATGTGGGACAGCTGCTCCCGGTTGGTTGAATGGAACATATCCTTTGATCGCTTACACAATTCAAATAGCCACTGTTTGTTATCATTGGCGAGCAGATGTTTGCCAATGGTCAAATCAAATACAAATTACGAATTGTTTGGCTTTTTATGTATTTCGATTAGTATCACCACCTGATTGTTATCTAAGATACTGTACAATGTAAATAACAGCATTTGGTAAAGATTTAGCTTCTTACTCTAGAAACTTTATTTGAGAAAAAATATAACCTGAAGAGTTATTGTTCTATATGTAAGCGAAGTGAAAATTACTATCCCAAGCAAAAACGACCCAATTTTTTGGGTTATTTATCTAGATTCAGCTGAATCCAGATAAATAACCCAAAAAATTGGGTCGTTTTTGCTTGGATAGGTCAATTAACTCTAGGCTCAATCGAAAGTTTCCATCAATTCTATGCATTTTTGTACATTTTAATCCAAAAAGACCTAATATAATATTTTATCTAAAGAGAATTATCAGAGATCCAACGTTCATGAAACAATTCGACTTCAATTCTTTGTCTATTATGTTCAAATAAATTAGTACAAGCAATAAACCACAGCAAAATTAGTAATACGTAATTCATTACGAATCAAATAGAGAAAGTTCACTTTTAAATAGTTTGACTTTGAGAGCTGATATTTCCTAGATATGTTGTATGTGTCAGAAGTAGGTTACTCTTTAAATTTAGTTTGCTAACCTTTATAGTCGCAAAAATATTTACATCTTAAATTAACTATCCCCATAAATTTTCCTCAGGTATACTGACTGATATTCTCCTCGAACTGAAAATTCAATAATTATATACACATGGCGTTGATTTATCAACGATTTCTTACTTCAGCTTCAAAATCAGATAGATTTTATCGTCAGAAATTTCTAGTTTTATGCGATTTTATTTTGAGTTGAAAGATTAGAAATTTTCAGTAACCAAAAAGCAAAACAGAACATTTCGGACAATGACAAGAACTTTTTTGCAACCTGTCCAAACTGCTGATGTCAATGTCGGTATTTTCAACCTAAATACTGTCAATGAATATTAATTCTCTTAGTAAGAGTATAATAGTCAAAGATGTATATAGAAACAGTTTTATAGTCAACAGGTTAATGATGCCTTTGAGAAAACAGTAAATAGCTCATAGGCACAGTTTTGACAGATAGCGCATCCTTCTGTGAAATTGGTTTTGGCCAGAGTTTGGTAACGGCTTACAAGCTCAAATTCTGACTAATATCAGTAATGTTTTAGACAGAATTTATGGAGAGAATTGAAAAATATCAAAATCGAATTGTTTAAAAGTCATATATTTCTAGTCAATTTATAATGTAGAACACACAGTAAGAAGAATTAGTAATGATTCCAATAAACGATTGTATCGACTGGAAAATACGCTCATAAAAATACCGTTCTATAGTGAAATTAATTACAGGTGATCGAAGCAATCAGAGAAAAAAGGTAAATACTATAAGGATAGTTTTTTAAAGTATCCATTAAAGGATGGGGCGCAATAAAGATCGAGAGTCTAAGGAAGTATCTATCTACAAAAACTTATGTAGTATTTGATTACAAAATATGAAAGTGGAACGTTGTACGAAAAATATTGAGAAGCTCTTGCTTTCCAACCTAAAAATTAGTTTTTGTTGTTCTATTTTTTAACTGTTGAAAAAATGAGAAAAAATCTACCTAGTCGTTCAGCGCTCCGGATAGACTCAAACGTTTGAATTGAGTCCGTGTTCATGAAAAATTGTTTTTTCAGCCCAGTGCAGTCCATCCCGAGTCCAGTCGATTGAGCAAATAGTCCTATGGACTTTGCAAAATGTTTTTGCTAGTCTCGTGTTTGAGGAAGTGCAATAACAATAATTTTCATTGATGAGTAACAAGTAAAACTGTTTGCATCTTCTTAAACCAGTACACGCAAAAAGCGTTAAAATTTGTTCATGAAAAAACATCTCTACTGCTCTATAAAAACTAAACAATGTGAGGTAAAAATAAAAAACAAAGAATTCTTTTCTTCACAATGGTGATTTAAATGTTCATGATAAAGTATTCATTTTTCCGACTGAACGAATTAGCAAAACATTACTAACTTGTTCTGGATTTATACTTGATCGCCGTTCAGTTACGATGGATTACGGTTATGGAATGTGTTTTCCGAGCTACTTTTAATAGAACTGAACACATTCTTTGATTTTCACGCCAAAATTCAAGAAGACTTATTGACAGAATGTCTTTATCGATTTTTAATGCTACATACCGTTCCAGTTCATCTTATCGTCAATGATTATTATTTTCAATTTCGCATAACTTGTCTTCATCAACAATTTTTGAGTCTAGTTCAGTCCAAGTCCATGATTTCAAAAACTTTCGAGTTCAGTCCACATAAAACTCACTAGTCATTTTGTAGTCTTTGAAAAGCTGTACCTCTCACTTATAATCTTTCTACATTACTGCCGTATACATACATAAGAGCTTTTCCTCTATTTCGTTTTTATCCGAAATCGCCATTTTTAGAGTACAATTTACTTACGAGTTAGTATCTTTGTGTAAAATCATCATTACTCATTCAGAACTGAGTATCTTCGATTTGGACTGTTTTGGTTTAAAAAGAAAAATACATGACTATGAAAAGCTGCGAAACTTTCTTTCGTCAAAAATCAAGAGCGAAAGTATCAAAAGTACGTTGTTTTTCAGAAAATTTCAAGATAACGCACACTTGACAGTATCAATAGATGTTGTCTGATGCTTTTAATTTCTGCATCCTCATTTTAAAAATAAAATTTGAATTGGCTGAGAAGTGCTGTAGAAAGGTGTACATTCTCAGTATTTTCCGTATAACTTACGTTTCACCGTCATATTTTGTACTCCATATGTTTTCTGTAAAGAATTTTACAGTGGATCTGTTCGCAAAAATGAAAGTCTCAGGGATAAACTCTGATCGGGATATAATCAAAATTCCTAAGTGACCGATTTTGCATAGATCATCTGCTATTTTCTAAGTGACATTTGATACATATTTCTACGTATTTTAGCATTTTTCATCATTTAACGTTGAAAAGAATAGTCAGAACTGCTAGACTTTGAGAAGGTAATTTTTTTGATATTTCAAAGACGGTTTTGGGGGGCAGGATATAATTAAAGTTGAAACAGAAACTGAAATATCATAGTTAACAGAAAAGTTTTGCTCTGATTTTCAAGAAGACTTTAGAGTATTTTACACTTAATAAGTGTCACCGGCACGGTGAATTACATATCTCTACGCAGTCTGCACGGAACACAGAATCTTTCAGTGTACTATAGTAAATCTATTTCCAATTATCTTCTGAAAGAATAAAGCTTTGATCCAGTGGATTAGGAATAATGACTATGACCCTTTGTTTAAATTTTCATATATGCAAAAAATATGATTTTTGAAACAGATACTACATTCGCACCATATTCCTTCTTTTGAAATCTTATGAAACAATTGACATATAATCGCTATCCTTTTATGATCACTTGGCGCCTCAAAATCAACTATTGTTTTCCATTAAAAAAAGTGATGAAAATAATATTTTTCTACTAATGGCTAATTCGATTCACTTTTCCCTGAATAATGAGATTTTTGGATAATTTCTATGACAAATTTCAACTTGTAAATGAAAATTATACGAATTCTCAAAATGGTACTCAAATTACAAAGAAACTGGGAGCAACAGATTATGTTCTGTTTGCATTCTTCAGTCTATTTATCTTACTTATTATTGTTTGTTTCATTAGTGTGGTGACTAGAAGATTTCGGAAAAAAGAACATAAACCTCGACGGACAAATAGAAGAGAACGAAAATTATCATCAACTATTTTATCAACTAAATCATTAGATAGTGGTAGATCACGCAGTGAAATGTTCAACGGTGAAGATGGCAGCATAGAGTTGGGAACCGTTTCGTTACATTCTTCGAAATAACTCTGTCTTACTGTTCAATATAGTTGTACTTAAATGAACAAGTTCTTGGTTCCAAGCTTCTTCATAACGTTCTCAGCGCTGAAAGAAAACTGTTGTCTATCTCCTCTTGGATACAAGAACAGTGAGCCTTATAATTTGCTATCAGAGTCCGGTCGGAATGATCCATTGCTTTTCCATGTTTCCTCATGCACATGATTTAATAGCTCAAAGCATTAGAATTCATATTACGTTTCACCATATCAAAGGTTACTGATCGACTTTAAAGGATTACACGACTTTCTCAAAGTCTTCAAATTTTCCGAAAACTATTCTGTTTCAAAAAATTGACTATATCTCGATCAACATATATATGATGATATATATGAATTCTACCAAAAGCCCTAAATTATTGTTCGGATACTAATTACTAGAAACCGCTAAAGCTCTTATCAACGGCAGTAAAAAGTAGAATTTTGTCCGTTTCAAGAACCCAAGATATCGAGATACTGGTTTTACCAATAACCTTCAGTCTATCTAACAATAATAACCGGAATGAGAACGCAAAGTTGATTATATTCTTCATAAAACAAATTTTCCATTGTACTGTTTCATAGAGAAATTTTCACAGGCAATTCCGTCTGATTAGCCAAATCTCCGTTTTTTAAAATGAATATGAAAGGATTAAGTTGCAGGTTTCGTAGGTTAGGTTAGATTTAGATTACCATGTTCGCAATCTGTATTCAGCCTAAATAAAAAAGTACCAGTAGCCAGCGGCTCATAGTTAGCTATACCTGTAGTTCTGTATCATAGGAACAACGAAAAGAATCATATGATGATGTTTGCAGATAATATTGCAACATTAGAGAAATGTAAATTTGCTGTGTCTTCGCCATTTCAACCTTAATGACGTAATAAATCTTAACATATGAAGACAAAACTATGAGTTCTGAGATTCAAAATCGATTTTCTAAGAAAATTTTTATAGATTGTTATTAAATTGGCTTTTAGGTGGCAAGTTGAAAGATGTTTCAGCCTGTAAGACTCTAGTTATAGAGACGATTTGTACGATACTGATCTCCAAATATGTGTTGGCGCAAATCGAAACTGGACCGCTTTTGTAGAACTACATTCGATATTAACGACTCAATGTTTTAAGTTTTATTCTTCTGACAAATATTACTTTGTGTTCCACACTAACATTCAGGTCATCAAAAGGATGTTTCATCTCGTTGTCAGAGTTCGACATATTATTTAAGAGACGTTCTTACTGCGAAAACATATCTTAACATATGCAGACATCGATAATTAGGCGTCTAGCGGTCAGAGCGTGAACGATAACCTATGCAAATTTAATATAGCTATTATAGAGAAAGGTATTGAATCAGTTGATAAAATCTAATTTTTCTGTGTAAGAAGCTCCAAGAGATCGCCTCAAACTGATTAGAAAACCTGTTCCACTAGAAAACATTTCAGATCTTGATAGCGAACACTACAAATAGCTGCAGAATAAAAAAAGTCTCTTTCATCTAAAACAGACTTTTAGTTAGGAAAGAGAAGTTTTAATCATCGTTTACTTTCATGTTGCTTACGTTAAGCTAATTGCTGTAAAGTTTTTTGTACTTTACAACGTTTTGATGTTTACTTATCCAATTTGATCGCATAATGATCAAATGAATTAGCCAAATTATTTATTCATGGGAGGAGAATATGTCGTTCAATGTATTTTATCATTGCAGCTTGTTTTTTACTTGACTATAAACGTTTCAGTTTTAAATCTGAGATTTTACTCATTGAAAGTGGTTTATGTGTTCTTTGAATTGATTCGCCGATCAAAGTTGATAATAGCTCTTTATGACGCACTTCGTCTGTCTATCGCCGCTATTATTGGCAAGAGAATCAAATATATAGCAAAATTGTAGAAGAGAAAGACAAATAGTTTGCTTTTCTTTCATCGAATAATATTTAATATCAAATTTTCTTTAGTATTCACACTAAGACGAGTAATTATAACTGTTGATGACTGAAGTTACATTTTGTTTAATGATTACTGTAGATTAAACCTTGATGGAATACTGTACCCACTCAACTGATGAGGCAAATGTGGTTGACCAATGAATAGTATTTAAATAACAATTCACGTGTTAGCGATTGCAGAGGAAAGATCCAATGAAACTGAACAATTTCTTACCATGGAATCTATTAATTTATTACACTTTCTTCAAGTTTTTGATCAGCATCTTCAGTTCCACTTAGTTGAGGCAACAAATAAACATCAGTTACGAATTATATCAGGATTATTTTCTTCTCTACCGGTATGAAAAGATGTCATCAACTTTCCTGCATGACTCTCCTTTGACGAACAGTTTATTTTGTTCTATTTTTCTAGAGTGATTCTTATTATTAAAAGAACATGATAAAAAAACAGAAAATCATTAAACAGCCAAAGTGCTTTCTACACAAATTTTGATTTTTTCAAGAAAATCAAACACATTGAGAAGAAATAACAATTTGTAGCCATAACTGAGCGCTCTAAACGACGAATGAAGGATACGGCTAGGCTGTGGTCTATTATGAAACTGACAGGAAACAAACATCATTCATTCCAAATCAAACATTCTAAGTCTTAAAAGTGTCTTACTTTATTCCATCAAAATTGTGGCATATAACCGAACTGAGATCCATAACCATTATTCCACAAACTATCTTGTCCTCCTGCAAAGGCCGATCCATATTGGTTAATATCACTTCGATTTAGATTACCATAACCGCCAGTAAATTGTACTGGTAAAGGTGTTGCTGGATAGCCTGCACTCATTTGTGGAAATTGAGGAAACATTGGTGGAAATCCTTGCATGAATGGATTTGCATATTTATTAGCGCCAGCTGAGGCGTCAAACATATTTCCGTCACCGTACATAGGTAATAGAGGTGGAACTGGTCCAGCAGCAGTACTAGGTGACATCCATTTGCCAGTATTTTGATAAGGTGGTAATCCTGCGAACAATTGAGGTGTCATCTGAAACGCTGGTGGAGCCGCTAGTTGAGGTATGCCTTGAACAGCTGGTTGTAGTCCAAAACCAACAGGCGTGTTGAATCCGCCTACAATAGGTGCCAATTGATTTCGATATTGCGATTGTGCACGAGGACGTGGTTGGCTTTTTGGTTGTTGATATTGTTGATATTGTCTTTCATATTTATCAACTTTAGCTGGTTTATCATTTTTACCACCATTAAATAAACCCATAACTGTATAAATCTCGACGCTTGAAGCTGTGGTTGAAGACGAAATGGATTGAGGCGACGTCGTTTTTGGTATCGTATTTAGGGTTAAAGAAATGTTTTTTTATTATGTTCTAATTTTAAATATGATTATTAAGGTGAGTTTCAAAAACTGTTACAAAAGCTTTCTATCGTTTGTTCGATAATAAATCTGTGTGCATATATATGCTTACGAATATTTAATGTTAAACAAAACTAGTTTTGAATATAAACTGTGTCACTTTTCTTTTCAGGTTGCACGTCTCACTTGAATGAATTTGTATGTTCAATATGATGAGCAATTTTTTTCTTACAAACAACGGAAAATGCTTCTTCTTCCTTGTTACTATATTCATCTACGTATGGTAAAATGTCTGGATCCCGTTGAGCAATATAACAATGAAATGGATGATGATAAATGACTAAACTTCAATAGGATGATCGTATTCGTATCTTGGGAACTAAACGACAATATACTAGTTCAATCTAAAGAGTACTATTCTATCATATACACACACATCCCCATATATGCGACATGTTCAGAACGCATGATATCGAAATTATAGTTATTATTATTTTATGATGATAAATTGCCTTTGTTTTTGCAGAGTAGTTCATATTTCACACCACTTTCTGATGCTTGAATTTATTTATTACTATTTGGTAACACGATGCTTTTGAGAAAACAAGCCTTTAACTTGTTAAAACTTGTTTGAGAAAGAATCTGTTCAAGATCATATTTTCTACTGTTTTTGATCATTAAAACACGCTTGAGAACAAGTAACTTAATTCTAAGGATTTAAATTGTGTTCATCATTTTAATGAGTTTTTTTACCTTTATACTCATCTATGAAATATTTAGTGATATAAACGAAACTCTTCAAATTGTGTCTCATCGGTTATGAAACAAACATCGAACATGTTGAACGAACATGAACCATATACCTGTCAACATCAATCATTTTCATCGTACAAATGGAAAAAAAATTTAATAAGATAAGCATATGTATGTGTCACACCTTATATTCATTTTTTGTGCACAATATATCTATCTCATCCATAACTTGAAACAACACACCTAAAAACTAAATTTTTATTTTAAATATGAATTCTATTGTCAGAACGTAAATAATATTATCAAAAATTCATTCTCATAGAATAGCGTCAAGAAAAATAGAATAGGCCTTTATGCCACTACAGATCAGAACGAAAAAAGTGAAAATTCTAATTAATAAATTACGTTGGATATATCGGGATTTCAGTTCGTATAAAATGTATTCTGAACTACACGCTAATCACCTGTTGCAAACTGATACAATGTGTCAGCAAGCTGCGTCGACTGTAGAGTCTTGACTGTAATTTTTACGATTGGTTATGATTGGCAATTTTTTTACATTCTATGAATTTTGAAAGAATTGACAATCGAAAACTACTATTAAGGAACCAGAAGTTTGAACCTTTTATTTACGACTGACTTTTTTTGGGCTAAAAATAAAAGTTTGAATAATATTTGAACACATTGTTTGGAGCATACTGTTCCATCGACAACTATTGAATGAAAGAATATGTATTTTACCACATTTGGCTTATGTATAACTAAGTCACCAATTTGATTTCTTGTGATAAAGCTTAAGAATGACAAAATAATTCGTATAAGATCAACAATTAGCATTATTTTATTATAAAAATAACAGGAGCTTTCGACTGCAATTAACAATAGGCGATTAATTAAGTAAAAATCGTACTATTCCACCTACTTTGATTCCACATTAAACTCTAACTACGCTCACTTTACTTAAAATGTTTCGATTGAATGTCTTTATTATACCGGGTTAAATACGCGCAGAACTCAAAAAAAGTCGAAAAGGCAAAAGTTTGTTTGATTCTAATTGTCTAATATTTCAGAAACGAACCAACTGTTAAGGCGAAAATTATAGAGTTATATGTAATTTGAGTAAGATTATGATAATTTATCGAGATTTAGATTAATCGTCCAATTTTCATGTTGGACACAAATATCAAGTTTATTTTGATGAAATGGCTTTGCTCTTTTAACAATGACTTACTTATGTATATTTGTCTTCTGCAGTGAATAAAGAAGAGTGAATAAAGTTTTTATTTCCTTGACATATAAAGAAAAACGTTTATGAATTTTAAAATTCATAAAAAAATTCATTGAGTAAAAAAAGATGATCATTGTGATTCAACGTCAAGGAACCAAGTAAATCGAAAATAAACGTTACTTGTTTTCTTTTCTGGATATATCTGGCTCCTTGTAATAATTTTTAACTGTTTTTATACATGATGATATGGCACAACCTAAAAAAAGCGTGGTACAACTCTTTTTTCAGTAAAAGCTCAACTTTTCTCAATTTTATGCGTGATTCATGATCAGCATGAAGAGTTGCATCTAGTTCGTATGATTTTAAGAAAATCGGAAGCAAAATTTTTTTCAAAATTTTTTTTTAAAAACAGGCATAAAAAATGATATAGAAATTTCGAGGAAACGAAGTGATGGAAAACGTTTCTAATAATAACTTTTTGTTGAATATTTCGAATTATAGAATGAACTTGTTTCTGTAAATGAGATGAGAAGGGCTCTGAGTGTTCTTTTATTTACATTTTGTACTTGTTTTAATAATGTCTTCTAGTGATTCGAAGTTTGTTTTACTGAATAAGTACAGAATTACGAATAAAACTTACATAGAGCTCGCTAACACCCTATTTTCTAAAGAAACATGTATTCCGCATTTCTAGCGATTCAAAAAAGTCCATTTACTCAGACTTCACAGATTGAAGAAGATATAAAACAGGCTCGTAACATCACTACTCCTGACACATTTCCCACCACAAAAAAACAAATTCGTTAGTACCACAAGATAGTTTATTCGCCCGTCTCGTTTTGTTAAATATCAGAGCGTATTTTCTGATCATTAAGGAATAAAACGAGTTTCTCAGGCAACAGAATATGTGGTTCTTCTTCGTCCAAACTGAATTCTAACATGAGTTATAAAATGAGCAAAACTGATTCTTTGGAAGAACAGGAGTTTTACATTTTATCAGATCCAGACTCTAAAAACTCTTTTTTGTTCTTTATGTTTTTGAGGAACTTCTTTTATAGAACGTTTTTAGTTTTCTTCTTTGCTGGACCTATTTTTAAGCGGTACTATGCTTATGACATGATACCCTACATATATATGACTGAATGATCTTTCTTGTATTCCATATACAAGTATCGCCATTTGAAATACTGAAACAACTCATTAGTGATTATTATGTTACACTATAGTTATATAGTGATAATATAACAATTTACTATTCACCGTTTTGACGTCAGATTCGCATTTTTCCAAACAACATTTAATGTGATATGAAGAGATTGGGGCAGTGCACATGAAAAATTAAAGTTTTTCATAAGTTGATTATCAGTTAAGATTCTAAATTAGTTTAACATGGTACATTTAACAGATACTGTCTGGAAATTGATGAAGAGTAATTAATATTAATGAATTTTTACAAAAATTGTTTACCAGTAGACAGAGAAATGTCAGGTATATCTAACTATATGAAATATTGTCTTTTATCCCGCAAAAATGATTCAGATACTCTGAAAAAACAGTGAAAATAAAAGAGGCTATCTAGAATTACCCCAAGATACTGTCATTGTTTGGCATTCGCGAAAATGTTTTAAAGAATGATGGTTTTTTTATTTAATAGCACAAAACATTTTACCAGACGTTATTCTCTGATCAAAATTTACTTGTAAACTGTTTTTTTTGCTTTTTCGCGTTTTTTTAAACTACTGACTGCACATATTTCTTATGAATGATATGTTGTGATCTAGTCATATCTGATCGTTAGGCATCTATATACATATGTTAAAGAAGAAACAAACAGTCTATCGTTAGATTAAAAGTACTTGTGTTGTTAATTTATGCATATAGTCTTCGTTCCCCAATATATCAGTCACAACAAGAACATGGCTAATGGCAGCATATTTGACAGGTTTGAAATCAAAGTTGGTCGTAAACCTGGATTTAGTAGGTTGCTTTTCAGCAGCTCTGCGTTGTACAACCATGCCAGTTCTCTAAAAGACTATCCAGTTACGAATGATAATATAACTTCGACAACGAACTGATCTTTTCTTTCTATAGAATGCGTATAGGTATTTACCGATGTAAGACCACATGATACATATTTTTTACTCATCAATAGGCCTCCGTCTATTCTCTATTTCGTGTATATCAAACTACTTATTACTAAGTTTTCTACTTGACTTGTTAAAGCGAAATAAAAAAACGCAGTTTTATTCGTTTTTTTATCCAGAAACGCGTACAAATGAATTTTCTTAATTTTTTGCGTTTATGAAACTCAACGAGATTGTAACGCGTTTTTCTATATTTCGCATTTTGGTAAGACAAGCCAAGTAGAAAATTTAGCAATGAATGATACGCTAATCAACCATAGAACTCATTAAATTCTTTCTTAGAGATAAAGAAATCAGAACAGAGGGCAAACTTCAACAATTATCCAGGGCAAAGTTTGAGATTGAAAATCAGATACTGTGAAGCATGAAGGTACCTAAACTAATAAATGTCCTTTCTTGAGCGTATTTTCCTTAATAGTCGCATGTTTATCTTTTAGATCATTTATTGCCATGCTTCCTTTTCTACTCAACCGTGCATTTGTTTTAACTACTCTACTTTGTCTTGGTTTTATTCTTACAATTTATTTTGTTCAGTACAATCAAAATCCATTACCATTTTTCAGTTCAGTTTTTTTCACTGAACAGCACACCGAATCAGAATGGTCAGAATTATACGCTCAAATCGAACTACTGCAACCATATGAAGAAAAAACTTATACGAAATGTCCCTATCAACCATCAAACTCCATTTACAAATATTCACTACGCTATTGGAAAGCCATCAATGATACAGAAATTAGACAAGCAAAATTCAATTGGCAATCATTTGTTAGAACAATTCCAAATTATCCGCATGGGAATTATTCTGGTTATGGTATTGTGAGTTCAACATCTACGAATGAAAATTTTCAACGAACATTAGCTCAAATCAAATTGTTGAGATGGTTAAATTGTCAATTACCAATTGAAATATACTCATTTGAAGGTATAATAAAGAGAAGGACAAAATGCCTAGTTTGTGAAGTCTTCTTCTTTATTCATTTTTAGGTGAACTGAATGAAACAGAAGTTATCACCTTACACACAGTGCCTGATGTCCAAGTAAAATTTATTAATGATATTGTTGACGAAGAAAATCGTAATGTACCCCGTTATGCCATTAAACCGAATGCTATTTTACAGTCTCGATTTAAACATGTTTTGTGGTTAGACTGTGATAACATACCAGTCAAAGATCCAACATATTTATTTCATACAGAGCATTATAAACAATCAACGGCAATGTTTTGGCCAGGTATGCGTAGTCGCTTATCCAGGAAGTGTTTCATCTGTTCATCTCTCTGCTTAGATTTTTGGATATCATCATCGTCAAATCCTGTTTGGCGTATATTTGATCTGGAATGTCGTCAAGAAGATTATGAGCAAGAAAGTGGTCAAATTCTCATTAACAAAGAAACAGCATGGAAACCATTGAATTTGGCCGTGTATCTAAATAAAGATCCATTTATACAAAATATTTTGAGAGGTGATAAAGAAACGTTTCGATTAGCATGGAAAGTGCTAAAAGTGCCATTTTATTTTATTCGAAAATTTTTGGCTGTGGGTGGTTTTGATTATGTTAAAGTTGACAAAAATGGTAAGTTAACTAAAACGAACTAATGATAACGTTTTTATTTCCTCCATTTCTAATAGGTAATCGTAACCTATCTAAAACTGACTTCTGTGGTCACACAACGATTCAACATGATCCCAAAGGTGATATCATTTTTCTTCATTTAAATGCAATTAAATACAATTCGTATATCAAATATCCAGTAGAGTTAAAACATATTCCACTCATTGGTAAACAAAATCCATGGAAAACTTATCGTCGTTATTCAAATACACATGCTTATTTTCGACCACAAATTATAGATACTAATAATTCTGACTGGTGTACTTATTTACCGATGGGAGAACACGATCATTACCCACCTGTATTTGAAACAGATTTTCATACACTCGTAGCGGCAAATATCACAGCAAAATATATTGACTATGGCGGATTACTATTAAAAACAAGACGAAGAAAAACAAAGGAAACAAGAATTGAAGTGGTAGATCGGATTTGGAACTAATATTCTTTTTTTTTCAATATTTTAGTATTTTAGTTAATGTAAATATTAATCTTTTTCGTTACTGTCACTGATAAATGAATACGAACTAATATAAACAATTTTTATAATTAAGTAATCCCAGTGAGTATTAACCATTGTATACACGACTCTCTGTGCAAACTTCATCAACCATATATAAACAGCCCATGAAATGTTGATCAAGAATGTATCCTGAAAAAGTTTTAAAATGTTGCTAAGCAATCATAGGTAAGACCGGTATTATTAGCTTTTGATGAAAATGGGAATCGCTGTTCGATGTTTTCCAATTGTGAATGAATACATAGCTAGATAGGTAGTACAGTTAGAATGATATATGCAAGAGAAATTGAATGTGTGTATATAGGAGAGAGGACACAAGTAAGAGTTTCTCTTCCAAATAAACATTAAGCTCGCGGCCTATCGGAAAATGCATCGAACCATATGTTTAATACATCTTTCTTGAATCAAACAGTTTCATCAGAAACTCTCATGTACAGACATTTTTTCAAATACAATTTTTTTTCCTTGAGAAACATTTGAAAGAAAAACGATCAATATCATCACGTTTAATTGCCCGTTAAAAAAGGAATCATTCATGACTATGTTTTTGAATAACTTTTGGGCAAGGATAGATTGAGGACTGCATTTTTCGCCATTTGAAAGGGGAAACTTGACTGCATATTTTCCTACAACATGAAAATCTTTCATGAAAGCAGAATTTTTGAAAAAGCTGCGTGGATTTCCAAAACTGAAGTATCAATAAATTTGCTTTTTATATGAGCGATTGACAAAGTTTCCTCTCTAAAACAAGAGTAAATTGAAGACGTCATTTTCCATACTCTAGTCGTGACGCTAGATTTTCTCAGAGTTCCATGACTGATAGCGGTAAACTTATCGTCGAGCTGATTATAGGTAACAGACACAAAAAGTTGAAATACTGATTTCTGCATATTATCACTAGTTAAAATCAGTTAAAATCACATAAAGCCTTGATGGAATAGTTAATTTTATATGCTGGACATGATTTTAAAATTGATTTAAGCAAATAAGTATATAGCCTGCAAAATGTGGCAGCAAAAAATGAGGACCACATATTGTGGAATGTGATTCATCTTAAATTATCCAAAATCCACCGTCTGTGTCAACTGAATAGTTATGTGATAACCATGCAGGATGTGCAATTGTGCACAAATGAAAATAATAACTGACTTCATCCTCAACGGAAGATGGAGAAGGCGATCCCGCAAAAACAAGAAAAAAGTGCGGGATTGACAGTGCCCATCGTTGTCTATAGCATGTCTTGGATCACTAACGGTGGTCGGCACCGATACTCTGCAAGTATCGAGCCACTATCTATTAGCATCAGTGTTTGATTTTTCGAATATTCATAATTAAAAATCCATGCAGAAAATATAGTAGTGATGACTAACATTAGTAACAGTATTCATTGTTCGTAATTCTTGCTACTCATGAAGTAAAATGAGTTTGACCCGCCACAGTTGACATTGTAGAGATACTGGATGAAAATTTAATTAAGAGGCATTAGAATTTACCGTTAGAATTTTTAGCACTTTAGAATATGCGAGTTTTGATTCTGACTAACACCGCTTCGATGTATACCAAGATTGAGAAAAAAAACCATCCATAAAATCTCTTCCTTAGTCGCACATTTCTTTGATGTTGTTTCATTCTGTTGACTTTCTGCTTTTGATGTAGTTTATGGAATAGAACTTTCATATGCCTCTGAACTAGCCTGAAGTAGTTCTCTTCCGTTCCAATCAGTACAAACACATCATGTTAGAATAATTAGAGGATTCACGCCATGTAGAATCGCGGTACGTTAGAATATGCGTCTAAGGCTCAAGCGTACTATACTTTTTAACCGACTTTGTTCATTGATGGATAATTGTAAGTAGTCGAAATGATACTATGAAATATGCTTAAAATTAATATGACTGAAAAACTTCTAAATTTGTGAAGATATCCTCAAATTATTATATAGGGCCATCGAGTTGTAGCAATATTACATAATTTTACTCAAAACGGCGTATTACTATATCATTACTAGTATTAGCTAATCTAGCCTTGAACTGGATATATCAAGATATTCTTGAAGGAATCTCAATATATGAAACTACTTTAGTAAAATACAAATTTCGACAATAGTTCAGCGTGAAACCAAGAAACCGTGAATATCAGTTTCACTATAGATCAATACTTTGGATATGTTTTCATTTGACTAAAAATCTTTTTTAGTTCGATCGTCTTGACACAATGTGACGTTATCTGTAGACTGTTTTTCTTTATTACCACCGTGCCAAGTTAGGATGAAATCTAATTGTTATCTACTAATAGTTATTTTTCGAGATAAAAATTTACTATTATTGTTTTGGGCAATAACGTTCGAATTTTTAAATCTGAAAAAAATACGAGCGTTTGAAAACATTTATTGTAATGATATTTGTTCTTATTAGAAAAGTCTAATCGTTTATGAAAATAGAAGATTTCACGCAGATGATAGTGCAAAAAAAGTTTATTTTGGAGTCAATATGTCATAACAAAAATCGTTCTAGGGTTAAGTTGCCGAGCTTGTGATTCTTTTCTCTAACATATCTCTCAACTTTCTTGCAACTTCGACCTCATTCATTTTTATGAGTGCACGAAATAAATCACGAGAACTATCTTCACTCGTTTGTTTTTCTAGCCAGTGTATAATTACGTTCCTCATCGTTAATAGATGTTTCGAAGACCGCGCTGCTAATTGTGCGTAACATTTGATATCATTTATATCTATTTGGCTTAAATTTAACAACTTAGCAAACTGGTACGGTTTACCATCGGTATTATCCATGACTGATGCTATTATGTCGGCTTCAGCTGTAGTTATCAGTCGATTATACCCTAAAAACCAAAAATAGAGCTTTTGCACAAAACCATCGTCACGACTTGTCATGTTAGACTATGAGCGCCCATCCTCTTCCTATCAACTAACTTATTTGTAAATAATAAAAGTAGGATGTGCAGATATTCAAACTTACTTGGCTCAGGTTCGACAGTGACTTCTACTCTTTCTACTGTTTCTCTGTCCAAGTAAACAGCATTCCCATAGTTTGTCAATAAGTGCCTAGCAAAATTTTGAATATTTTCTGCTAAAATGATATAGAACGTATATTCAAAATTATGTCTGACAAGTAGGTGATACAAAAGTTTTGTGTATGATATAGCTGTCCAATTTAACAACGTTTTTTCAACACTTGTATTTGTGCTTACGTGTGAGCAGAGTGCTGTTTGTCGTCATATTCTCATAAGAAGTAACCACTGGGTGTTCTGAAATTATTAATGTTGATATGTTAGAAAGATGAAACATTATCTAAGGTCTAAGATGAACAGAATCATACCAGAATGCAGTTGTTTGCATGTATCATTACGCGACCTACCATTCTGATTTAAGTTATTATTTGATTGATCAATTACGTACGATTCATCAACAGCCTCAGTTGGTGGTGGTTGAGCTATATTTAATAAACAATACACATTAGAGAAACTGAAGTGTTAAACATTATCAGCTTTCTTGCCTGTGCCACTGTATGAAGCTGCTAGCACCAGTGTTTGTGGGATATTTTTACTCGCTGATGTGCACGGATCTAAGTGAATTGCAATAAATGTCTGTTTAAAACATTTCGAGACTTTTGTTAAAGTTCATTTCACACCTTTTATCAATGTAACTTGGTCAGCTGGAAAACCTGAATATGCGTTAATAAACTTAGTAAGAAGAATCGATTATGCGTAGACGTACCTTCGATTGTACGTTCTCACTCATAGTTACTCACGGTTTATTGAGCTTTGATTAGTACCAGCGTTAACAGGTGTGACTTTACTAATTTCTTGTTGAGAACATTCTTCTACAGATGTTTTAATATATTCTATACTTTTTTCTTCTGTGCCGGACTTAGATAAATTTTTCGGTAGTAGATCTGAACAAGAAAATGTTTAACGTGAGCTGTGTATGAGTCTAGCTCGAATTCCCCAGCTTTAAAACATACCTCCCCTCATCTCTCCCATCATTGTTCCTTTAGATTCTTCTGCTTGTTTCCCATGTCCACTAGCATGTGCTAAAATCATGTCCGACAAAAGAAATCGATGAACGATTTCTAATCATTAATGCAAAACTCACGTTGAGGTGAATAAGTTGACTCGATTGGCAATACAGACGCCCAGAATGAGTTAACATCCTTATCTTTAATTGATCCATCTGCTGTCATCAATGATGCGTTAAATAAATTCACATGCTATCGAATTAGCAACAGGCAACTTCGTATATGCCAGTTAGAACTTACGAGTTTCAGTTGCTGGAATGCAGTTGTAAACCACAGACTGATTGGATGCCTGCAGTTCTGTTTTATTGGATTCGGCTTCGTTATAATCGATTGGCGATATAGATGCCCAGAATGAGTTAACATCCTTAGCTTTTAATGATTCATTTGTATTACTGTTTAAATCATCGTGTGTTATCGTGTTATGAGTTAGATATAAATCACAGTCTAACTCTAAACTTAGAAGGGAAAGCAAACAGTTATCCGTGGATTAACATGCGATATCCACATCACTGTGCAAGATCAGTAGCGAATCAGTCCTTCAATCTCCACTTTCCTACTAAAGATTAAACATCGCTCTAGTGTAGCTTTTTTTCTCAAGCACATGAGTTTCTTGAGGTATGTACATGTACATAAATATTTAAAATAATGTATTGTTTTAAATATTTCTCCCCTCATGCACATACTTCAAGCAACTCAAGCGCATTACATGAGACAAGAAAGTCAAGCACATACCTCAAGCGCTTTGCATGAGTAAAAAATTCATGTGCATGGAGATAAATTTTGAGGTGTGTGCTTGAGAAAAAAAGCTTCACTAGGGCGTAGTTTTGATCACCGCTCTTGTGACGGACACTAGTCAGCTACAATTTGGACAGACAAAATTCGCCCACACTTTCTCTAGACGTAGACTCATAACTAGGTTATTTTAAATAGAAGGTCAGGCGAACGAATGTACAAATAGCAGCCAGTTTCAAAGAAAGCGAGACAAGTGACTTAGAACTCAACTCAGTTTATCACTGTCAAAGAGAATGTGTCGCCACACAGTATCGCAGAACATGTGGCACTTTGCAACATCTACTTCAGTGTCATCTTGTACTCGAGACATTACCGTTGTTCGAAAGGAGACGCGTTGGCCGAAACAACTTGGGAATGATCCATAAAACAGGAAGTAATAGAATGCCAACAACAGCAGGAAAGTGCCTGTGTATAGCAGCATATACAGCATCAATGACTAAATGAAAACACTTCGGTTTCGAACAAAACAATGGTAAATATAAGTAAAGCGTAGACTATTTATATACGTGGAATATTTGTTCGAAGCTGTCTGCTATTAAAATACGAGACGGCTTTAATGACGGTAACGAAACGACTGTCGTGATTGTGAAGAAGTTGAAGGCGGTATAGTTTCTCCTGAATATGAAAGTAAATGAGATGAGAATTGAGCTCTGTCGTGGCAAACAAACCATGTACGAAGAGGAAACAATGATCTACAATGAAAATAAATAATACTTTCGCAGCCACGAAGAACCACTGCACACTCTAGTAACAGATGTAACGTCCGAACCACAGCAAGAATGCTCTAGAAACGTGACAGTTCATTGTGTTGATGATGTATTTACATAGGCCCTTTTGTACTTCCCCTATGAAGCCATTTAGAAAGAAAAGAACAGAAAGAAAAAAAGAATGTTGAAGAATCAGTAGTTTTGTCAACAGTTACCTGACGTTATTTCAGTAAACGTATTCGGTATTGTGCATTAACTGTTAAAGATGTCCGTTTAAAATGTCATTCTAACAGCAGCAAAGATCTAGAAGGTATTCTATAAGAGTCTTGGTATATAAACTTTATTCTGTCAGAATACAAGTGGAATAAGAGTCCTTAAGAATCTATGATTATCGCATAACGTAGAAAGTGTGTGGACTGATTCTACCAGAAAGTAAATCAGATCATACAATATGAACATACATGGGGCATTTTATATAGAAATTCTATAAGAAGAATTGCATACAATTTCTATTTTGGGATATCGGAGGGTTGTACAAGATCACACAGCAGGGAACAGCAAAATTCCTAGCGTAAGAGTTCTGTGATTTCTAAGTAAATAAAACAGGCTTTTCAAAAGCCTGTTTTATTTTTCGAAAAATAAAAGTTAGTCGCGATCGCTCCGCGATAATAGCGAATTTTTAGCGATAGCGGTGTGAGTTGAGCGAATGCCACGTGATCGTGGTGCGAGAACCGCGTGCGCACCGCGAATGAAGCAAGAAGTTGACTTGGACATCATCTGAAATATTGGACAAAGGCTTCACAAAAGCTGTATACTTACTTATTGTTTTGATGCTACTAACGCCCTCTTCACAGCCTAAAAGTATGCAACTATTTCAACTGTAGGGGAAATATCTATAGCCTGCTGTACTCATTCGAGCTGCCTAATCAACCACCAAAAATACAAGTATAGCTTGATGGCGGGCAATCGTAAAACGTTTTCTCGCTTCTCAACAACAAAAACAATTTCTTCCTATCGTTAATAATTCACAGACTATCACAGACGCCATTCCAAAAGCAGGAATACTTAATAAATATTTTCTTGATCAGACTTGTGTGACTATTCTTCAAATTATACTGCCCCCATTCTCTCTAAGAGAACAAATTCTTCTTTAAAGCATGGGTCTACTAATTCTCTCAAAATCTGGAAAAATCTATTACGTATACAGACGAAGAAATCATCGATTCAGATGTAGCTCACCACCCTATTTAGAAGTCTATGGATCAGCATCAATGGTACTACAGATAGACCAACACTAGTTTATAGGCCAATCACGATAAATCTCATTTATGATAATTGCTCCTTTCGATGGCTCTATTATTAGATCTAACCAGATCAATATTTCGTGCTCTTATATAAGAAATCGGTAAGAATCAGATCAGATTCTTAACGACAGCAGATAAGAAGTTGACATGATTCTTGCCAGATTCTTATATAAGATTCGATGACTAGAGTAAAGTAGTCAGTCAGATTTTTTTGTTTAAATTATCTATTTTTTGTTAACTTATGTTCTAAGAAATATTTGAGATAAACTTTTTATAATCAAATGCTGCTTTAAAACCAACTATCCGAGTTTCTTTAAAAGTTTTAAATCTTTATTTGCATGACTGTTAAACTCTAAAGGATGGGGCAGAATTACTGAAACGTTTCAGATTCTGACCCATCCTTTATATTTCATTTCAAAACTGCATGATTATATATTTTGAAAAAAGTTTACAGAGAAAAAACACCACACGACGATCATCAGACAGTCCATCCAGGTGATTTGTTGTTTAAGATCTATCGTCATTAAATTAACTTTATATTAATTAATGCTGCATTTGATACCAATTTATGATGGTACTGTATTTCGTAAACTGGATCTTATGTGGTTCTGATCCGTTGTATGTCCCATGTAAATAAAAACAACGTCCAGTTTTTGTGATTTTAATATCAGGATTTGAATTATACGATATTGCCATTTGTAATGTATAAAACCGAATTCTTAACTGCTTGGTTTCATACTATTAGCATTATATTTTATTCACCAGCGTCTATATAAGCATTAGACTTAAGACAGAGTAGTATAATACTTTCCTTGATATCAAATTTCAGTTTTTTGAAAAATTTTTGGTTTGGCGCCAGTAAAATAAGGTTTTTGGTTCGTATTGTATAAATTTTCAGTTTTTGTTTTTTCTATTTTGCCCGCATAAGTCAGAATTGCTAATACTACTCCTTCAGTTTTTGGGAACCAGGCATTAATATCTTATTTCCATGATACTGATGCGTTAATTCTGTAAATTATTTATCTTTTTAGCCGATTCAAATATATACGTTTACTGACAATTTTGGTTGATTCCCATTTTCTTTTTTTCTGATGTGTATTGTTACGAATAGAATCAGCAGCTAAAATATCTGTTGTCCTTTATACTGTTCTGCACAACTGCACCTAACAAATCTTTCATATTTTTTGCTGTATCTGGTATCGATAATACGTTCAGAACTTGTACCTTCTACTATGATGTATTCAAAATTATCTGACAAGTTTGTGGCTTTAAATTCAGTGCGATTTAGTTCTCATAATGTTAATAAACTTGACAACTGAACCGTGTAAATATTTATTTTAGATATTTGAGTTTGTGGACCTTAATCTGGAGTCGATAAAAGTGTCATGTATAGTTTATCTAAAATGTTTATAATGCCAGCATATGGTATGGCTAAAATAATGAGATTCAGTTCATCTGAAATCTACTGTATTACACAAAAACGTATGAATAAATGTCGAGCTCCATATAAGTTGTGAACACTGGAAAATACTGACTGCTAGTGAGAAGTGCAGATGAGTAGTCAACGCAATAGCTAAAAAAAAAATTTGAATTTAGCTTTAACAGAAATGTCAGACCAACTTGCCATTTTATTTCTAAAATGAGGTGTAATCTACTCAGGTTTTTTCACACTTCCCGATAGTATATCAAAAGTTTTTGGACCTCCTCATACTTGAGATATTGTCAATTTAGTGTTCGACCGTTGAAATCGAATTCGCATGACTAGAAATACAGGCTTTGAAAAACTTTTTTTTCTAGAATGTTGCTAAGAAAGTCAGTTATCGAACGCTATCATCCGCCTCCCCTCTCAAATTTTTATTGAGCAAGAACAAACAAATATTCTCTGCTATGTGGATAATTTTGTCCTACTAAAAAACCTAATTTTTTAGGTTTGTTTCACAAAACTAAAATCACTGATTTCAAACTGAGTTTTTTTATGGGCATACATGCTGTATGAATAATTTGGGTGCATCTGTATCTGTTGATATGTTTTTAGCGGATCAGAAATCAATATATCTTTTGCAAAAAAACAAAGACAGAGACTGCAGTCTCCTGCGAATCATTTGTTCTGCTTAGTTCCTTCGAAACTCAAACGGAGAGTTATTGGCGTAAATTGACTTTTGATACGCTAAAAGTTTATGAACAAATTTTCGGTGAATAGAGTTCTTACATCTGATTCAGAGTAGGGACGCACCATTGTCAAAGTTCAAATGGGTTTAGTCCCAAATACATAAATTTCAAGTTTGAGCCTAAGTCCAAAACTTGGGTATTTGAGGTCAAAATACTTTGGGTTTGGTCCTGAATAGATATTATTAGAAAACGGATTCTGATCTCACATCGTGGCTATGACATACTAGTAAAGGGTCACAGTCACATGGCAATACTGCACTGACTGCGCTCTGGCTTCTATCATGGACCGATGTCTGACTTTCGCAATTATTTAAGCTTGATCTGAAACCTAACAGGGGTGTTCGATCACCCCAACCTCTCAAATTTCTTCTGGAGATCGGCATTAACGACATTAAAAAACCCATAAGATGCCTGATGACTTAACTTTTCTGAGTCCTGTCTAGTAGAGAATGATAAAAACTAAAAAGACTATTAAACATCAGCAACCGATAAAATCCCCTATTAATTGAAAGAACAAACTTGTTGCTTTCGAGACAATAAAAAGATACTCAAAGATTCATTCGGATTTTGTTATATTGATCAATGCACTTTTTTCTCAAGATCTCTGAGGTATGCTCTCAACGAAAAAGGAATGGGAAAATGATTTTTCTCCTTATCTTATATAGGAATACGCTTTATGTAATAAATTCATCAGAACTTGCTGAGAAGCAAGCATCAAGTCTCTTTTCAATCGGTTCATGATGGGAATTTAGAAAATGATCTTACATTGCAAATTATTCTTTTTGATATCTTTTACAAGGCAAAAGTGTATTATGTACAGGTCTCAATGTACTAGAAGTATTTATCAAGTTTGAAACAATTATATTGAGTACTTTTAAAAAGATCTATTTAACTTTTTTCAGTGCTGTTGGTCTTGTAGGTCTCACATCTTCAACAGTCTTTGATAATTCACTAATTCGAATATCTTTCAATTGTAAAACATGTTCTAATCGACGTATTTTCGCATGTAATACTTCGATTTCTTCTTGTTGTTGTAAATTTCGTTGTTTAATCTCTTCAAATTCTATACGTGGAACGGTTCCTTTTCCGTCACTCTTGTTGAATCGACCGCTGCGTGATGTCATTGCGTTCAACGTTGTTGTTGCTTTTGTTGTCCGTCCACTCTCAAATGACATCTGTGAATGACCACCTGTACGTGGAGAATGTTGAAATTTTTGTTGTAGTTCTAGTTCTTCATCAATCTTCAACCTCAAATTGTAGAGTAAAACTTCAACAAGCCCCGGTTTTCCATTACAGAGACCGTGAATAATAGTTTCAGGAATATCTAAACCAAAATGACTCAGAACACGTTTATTCAATGCACCCCAATTGGTTTTTTTCTGTTGGATATTGTTGGCAGGTGTATAATTGTGCATTTCAACTAAATCAGGTAAATAATAACGTATAACTTCGGCAACCAGAATTCCTAAAGCAGAGGAACAAACAGATATGTTTAAGTTAACTGAAATGTATATTATCTGTGTACCGTCAGAAAAGTCTCTTTCAATCCTTTTTTTTGGACGCGACAGTGGTAAACTATCAATCCATACGTATAAGTCTTCCAAAACTGTTTCATCTAATTCCATCTCCCATGCCATTGGTTTTTCCACTTTCAATTAGTTAGTAAATACTAAAAAATAACCAAGCAAAGATTTAATATAATGGAGCCCCATAGTAGAATGTTTAGTCCTGTTTCAAACATGAATCTCATAAGGCCCAGTTGATTGGACAATAATTGTAAAAGTCCTATGATAGCAACCCAAAGTTAAAACCGGAGAGGAGACGTAATGAAGGTTAAATTGAAATGAAACCCGATTTACTGTTTATTTTGAAATTTAATAAAACATATTTATTCTTTTCACTGTTGTACAATGGCGACTTTATTATTGTTTTCTTTCTACTGCACGTTTAACTTAGTGACAGTTAGCAATGTTTCGAATGTAAAAAGTTGTAGTAGACGATTTTTCTTTTCTTTTCTTTAAATATACACAAATATGAATAAAAACTCAGCTTTTTCGTTCATGAGTTGGATTGATTTCAATGAAAGAATAAGATAAAACAAGAGAATGTTAAAGCAAATATTTCTTTTTGCTCTTTCTAATACAAAATAGCAAGCAACACGAATTAATAACAATAATATGGAATAGAACTTGGAATCTCATAAAGATCAGAAGTAATAAAACGATGTGATCAAACCAATCCAGAACAATGCTATATACACCATAGCTAACCATGAAGAACGGAAGGCGAGATAATCAGAAATAGGGTGAGCCCATCTAAAGTCTCCCACGATATACATATTTTCTTTGGATACAGCGTATCTCACAAGAGAACATATTTGAGTGTGTCCCTGGAAACGAGATGTAACGTAGCCTATCTTGTAGAGAATTTGACGCTGATCACGAATATGTATTTATTAACTGCCCTCGTTGTGATCGCAATAAAACAGAGAACAGTTTGCTTTGTCTAACTTACCCCATTTGTTAATGAGTATCACTTTTAGTAGATTAATGTCTTTTGTAAAGAAACCGCAGTTAAATGAGAAAAGTCTATATAAAACAACTCTACAAAATAACATATCCGAAAAATTCGTGGCTCATGTACTTTCAAGAACATAGTGATTTCAAGAGATAGTGTGAAAAACCTTGAAGTTAGTGTGTGATCAAGTTGCAATTTGAGACATATTTAAGATATCACGATAATTTTAATTTATTTATCGTGCTGCAGTCGCAAGCACCACGTTTCGCTATATTTGTTCTTCTATTCTTTTGAACTTACGAGAGCAAGGTTGACGCTTACATGTGATTCGTCGACATTAATGTACTTGTACAATATTTTGAAATAAGTCATATAACTCAGCTTCAGACGCTAAAAACGAATATAGAATCGAATTTTGGTTTTGACGTCTGTTGATATGAATCTCGAATAACAAGTTTCCAGAACTACTGAGAGCTTTGGTTCGTTAATGGTATATTCACTGGTTTTTCTTTCATATGTCGAAAATCAGTAACAGTTCGCCACTGAACTGCTGTCGATTGTCCACATATAATAATGAAATCGGATGTTCATCGTTCGATTTCTGAATTGGTTGAGTGCAGTTGTGAAACAAATATTTTCCAGTACTGACATATGGTGACCTCACCAAGAGATGAATATGGTTCAATAAAAACACTAGCAAGACTGTAATAATCATGATTCGAACGTGGATGACGATAATAGTGAGAGATGGTCAGGAATAAATTATTATTCAAATATTAAACTATTTTGTATGAATATATATTCATTTTATTTTATTAAGAAAAGTAAAATGGTCATGTATAAGAAAAGTTTGTTATGCAGTACACTAAAACTGAAACATTCATTATAGTCCTTTCAACTAGTATGTATTGTCAACCAACTTTTAACTCTATACTTACCTTCCTTTCAGACGTCAGCGAAGTATATTTAGCCCCATGAAGCAAATGGTAACTTGCCACACTTACGCATATAACCTTTTCTTGGATCTGGTAGGAAACAGTCACAATGCCATAGCATGATGAAAAAGACAATAAATATTATCACCAAAACGATGCTACCTACAAACTGAATGTTCGCTAATATTCCTCTACAGTCGACCATTGCTCTTTCTTACAAAAGTCTCAAATTAGTTAACTAACTTAGATACAAACCAAAGTGAATCAATTAAAAAAATTTCATCAAGAAAAAAGGCGCTTATTTAGTAAAGATTTTTTAATAGTTTTAAAGTTTTCTCTTTGACAAAACTTTCATATCTGTATAAAGAGTATATCTAAGTCGAACAAGTATTCAACAAAGTACGCAAAAGAAGGTTGCAGGCATTGTTATGTATATTATTTGTTCTTGTTTTGTATACGTATACATCTATGGTTTCTCGCGATATATCTACTTACACGTGAAGTATTTTCAGATCTTGTTGTCTTCATGTCAATGGCAACAAATACAATCAATTTGTTAGCAAAATACTCCGTCTTTCGCTGAATAAGAAGCAAAAGTTATTTCAGTAATTTCAGTCACATTGACTATGTCTTGATTATATCAACAGCTGTTGATAGTTTAATTTTTCTAGTCATTTACACATGTTTCAAATTTAAAAATTGACAAACAACTCACGAATCACAAACACATTTGTAAAAGACAGACGTTTAACTACTCATAACAAGCAGAGAAGAAACAAAGTTGTCCCTAAACATTTTTTTTCACTATTTTATTTCATCATAGCCATTCCCAATACAAAGATGTTAATCACCATCAAGAAATTCGTGATTTAGCACAATAAAATAATCATTTGAAATCTAGTCGACCGATGAATTATTCATGGATCTTAGTAACGATAATTAGCGAGCAGTTACAACTACACTTTGCTGAGTTCTATTAATATTTTATACAAGTGTTACTATTTCGTACATTGTATATTAGCCATGTATGAATTTTTTGATACGGTTATTGCTTCTCATACACTTTCGCGTTTTGCGAATGGTCTATAACGGTATACGCTAAGTGCAAAAAAAAAACGAGTAGTCATTAGTATATCATTGTTTATTTGTTTTATTTTATTTTACATGCTTGTTACACTTCTATCTCTTCTGTCTTCTCTATATTTTCTTCTCTTTTACTATGACATAATAAGAGATACATCATTAACAGTCACTTTTGTCATAATCTTGTTATGTTTTTCATTATGACTAAATAAATTCAATTCAGTTCAGTATATTGGCTGTTGCAAGACTAAAGCGTAGAGAAAGTTAAACATCAATCAAGAGAAGTTAAACTTGATATTTACAGAGTAAACTAATGCTAAAGTCTTAAGAGTATTAAATTTGATCAAAGCAGGATATCTATATAGTCTACCTATAGATTAATAGATGAATTTCCACGGCCAATAAGAAACTGTAGGCAGTTTTTTTCTTATGCAATTTATCTTTCGTTATATCATCATATGCACAATTATATATTTATTTGGAACATTATGGATGACTTTCCTTGTTCATAATCTTTAATAAAATATTATAATTACTCTGATAGTTAGATTATACTTTTGCTATGAATTAGCGCAGGTTCAAATTTTATCTTCAAATCCATTTACATTTTCAAAGCAAAGTGCATTTATGTAGTCACATGAAGTGTTTTGGTCTAAGATTCTTCATAACATATGATTAATGCGGTACGAAGCATACCGCATTATAGCAATCATGCACATCTTTCCTAGATCAAAACATGTATCATTTTCAAGATCCATTTTCCCGTAAATTGGAAACTTTATGTCAAAAGTTCAAAAGCGAGTACAGAGTCCTGTGGCTGGATGCGGGGCTGTCCCTTTTTCAAGCTTTCTCGATGTATTATCTTTTCTCTAGAACATACGAAAGTAGCTCGATTGAAAATAGAGGATGTAGAAATTTTTCAACAAAATGATAATCGATCTCAATCGATACAGACGTGATCTTCATTATAATGCAATGTTACTTTCACAGCTGATCTGTTTAATGCAGTATTATTCACTTCATTATCTATATATGTGATTTCTATTATAAATGAATGAATTATTGTTATACCTCAACCGAACTGTGTTAGAGATAATGAATGTACAGTGATAGTAAAAAATGATTGCTATATGATTATACAGGATTCATCTACATTGTTGTGTAAGGCTGTTTTTACAACTAATTCAAGGCAATCTACTTCAGCATTATCCATCAATAATGTACTAAATGTGTTACTTCACTGTGAAGTCTAACTATCGGTGTCTCGCGTAGCGTGATTGCCATTTAATTTTATTTATATCATCACAACGATAATTGACTTATGAAACATCAGTCAAATATCAAATCATCATTTATGTGTAAAATATTATCCATTAAAATTAACATTAATGGCATTTGGTTCATTTTATTTGTTCACGATCAAACATCCAAAATACTTAAATATTTTCTGGAAAAATTAATAAGAAAATTTGTTTTCAAATTAATAGGGTATATTTCAATAAAAATGTCTTTTGAACGACTAAATCATAAGATAGATTATCAGCTTTTTTCTTTTCTAATTATTCATTTATCTTAAAACACGCAAGGTAGAAAATAAAACGGTTACACCGGTAAATATGTCAGTGTGACATAAAATCAATTAAATCAACAAAAATAAAAACTATAATATTCAGAACAAAGATTAAAAACCTTCATGAGTGGGCGTTGAATCACCGGGAGGTGTAGTCTGTTTTGGAATCTCATTTGTATTATGTAAACCTTTTCGAAACAAACTCCATGGTGTTGATGGTGATTTTTTTAGTTTATCGTTTAAAATTTGTGTAGGTGCGGCGAGAAATACTTTACTATGATGTGATAATTTTTTTTTATCCGATGATAATTTTGAATCATCGAAAACATCGTGACGATTTCGGTTTTGTAAAAAGTAAGTCGATAGTGTCCGATGAATTGCTGATGTATGACTATCACGATGATGTTCGTTATGAGAAGGATCTTGATGATTGTTATCATCTTCGTCTTCGTCCGACGATGGTTGAGGTGTTGCACGTGCAATAATGTCTTTAATTGCTTCCGTATCACGTTTAAGATCATGACGATTTGATATCATTGAGGGATTTTTTCCAAGTTTATTCAAACGTTCGGCAGCCACAGATTCCATTGTACGACGCATTAACGGATACAGTTCTAATACAGCATTGAATTGATCAGAATGCAATGAATACAAATTGCAATAAGTTACACAACGTACACTTGCAACACGTTTTGCTCGAGTTAATAAACAAATCTCTAAACAAAAAGATCGACTTGAATGAAAAGCTAATATTATCATTACTCTGTCTTTTACCGCCAAAATACGATCCATCGGAGAGTGTTGTGAGTACTTCGCCATCTGATTTAATAATGTCGACTATACCCTCTTGAATAAAATACATTTTGTCTCCGATGGTTCCTTCCACTATAATCAAATCACCGGGTTGATAAACTTCGAAACGAAGTTTAGTAACTACATCTGATACAAAATGAGGATCAGCATTGGTAAAAAATGGTACGGAAGATACCAATGCACGACAATTGTAATTGACAACATCCTGGAAAAATATTGTTAAATCATCTCTTAGGAGAATAAAATCACGTACATACTTACCAATCTCAGTCTTTCTGATAATTCGATCAGAATTGAGTCTTCATCAAATATTTTTCCTTGATAACGATGTTCATAATAGTCAGATATACGATTACGCATCTCACGTGGCAATTTACGCCATGCCATGTACTCTTCAACTTGTTTAAACTAGAAACAAATGCAAATAGATTTCAAGATAGCTGAAAGATTGAAAAAGTTTTTTCTTTTAAATTTTCGAAAGATCTCTGTAGTATATGGGTCATGTTAGAAAGTCGAATGTAAATGGTATTTTTATATTTCATTTTAGCTTACATAGCTCAAAAACCTTTAGTTATTTAAATAAGATGTTCTCTCTTAGAATCAAACTTGATACCTACCTTTTCGTTATACAATCTTCTCGACGTATCAAAACTTTGTACAAGAGCTGATACGTGTCCAATGGTAATTGCATAACACATGGCTCCAGTCACTAAAAACGTCCAGTTTATAATGATATCTTGTTTTATCGACGGTCACTTCGACATACCCATACTCAACATTGTTAACCACATATCAACATAACTCTGAGGAGGATATCGGCCATAACCAATGCATAACATATGCGAGAGAGCTTTGAATAAGGCAACTGTATACTGTTCTGTCCACGGAGCGTGCTATAGCAAATAAATAAAACCGAAGATGATGATTTGAAATTAACTGTTTATCCATCCTATTTACTTGTAGTCCGTTGAGTGCTACCCAACAATCTGCAGGAAAAGTTTGTAACATCGGAATCATAAATTGCAGACAACCATTCCAGTGTGCTAACAGAATAATTAAAGCAATTAAGTTTAATATACGCATTACCATACTGGCAATACTTAAAAACTAAAATAGAACACAAAAACAAAGTGAACATATGAGCGAGAACTCCACCAAAACAGAATCGTCACATTTCCCACAGAATGACTAATGATCTTGCATCCTTTACTCCCAATATTTCCATTTTTAGTTCACTATAAGGAATTTCACAGGTTAAAACTACAGAAATTTTACGTTCTAAACTAAGCGAGAAACAAGGCAACAATCGGAAGCACTGTATTAATAGTTTGACGATACATATCATTAAAATTGAATAAATAAAACACAACAAAATCAGTAATAGTAATGGGTGATTTCCATTAAAACAGAAACCATATGATATAATTATTGTTTGTCTTGATCTAATTTTCAACAACAAAATTGAAAATTACGATCATTCTGAAACTATGGTAGAGAATAGAAAGAGCAGGTATTTCCTTCTAAGTCATAATCATGAAAAATTCGCACATTTTTAACACAAAATGTCTTAAAGATAGAACTAATTGAAAGAAAAAATACAAAGAAATTACATCATGAATAATTTTTTCTTTTCCTAAATGTCTGAATTACATCACTAATACCACCGAGACTGCTAATACGAAACATGTTTTGTTTTATCAAAGAACAAGACAGTGTGTATGTGTGCATGATCATGCGCTCAAATTAACACGAAACTAGCATGCATGATAATATTCTACTTTGAGTTAGTGCAATTCTAAACTACTGTTTGAATTATGGCCTATACGATATATAATCACAAGAAAAAAATCATGCGTTTTTACAGTTTGTTAATTATTTAATAGATCACCACATTTTCGTAGCAAATTCGTAATAAAGTGCTTGATTCATGGCAATTATGCAGAGAATATTAAAAATAGCGAAATATACACCAATGTGCTGTAACTAAATGTAAAATCTACTAGTTTTAAACGGACCTGTTTCACATGCACCTAAAAACAGTATCAAGGTTAAAATCAGAACAAGGTTAAACACGGTATGTAGAACACCATCTATATCCCATAAGAATGAATTTAATATTCATCAAAAAATGTTGGATAAAAGAAAGAGAAACAACGATATTCTCTGATGTTTACAAAACATGGTGTGATCAACTGATGCAAAGATCACGAATCAGCTGCAGATGATGTATGACATTAATTTTCAAACGATTAGGTTGTCATTCTGTATTTTGCATATTAATATGTGTCGGCTCTTTTAGATAGTCTAAATTATCGTCTACATAAGCCAGCGAGTCCAGGATTTTGTGTAATACGTGGGTAATTCTCCGGAAAAAATTTTTAATAATTAGACTGAGAAGTGTAAATGTTGTGGTTAAAAATTTTGAGTTTTCGTTTGACGTTTTACCCTAGATTATGAAAACATTCTTTTAGCTGTGATGATTGTTTTGTATTTGTGACTGTGAATGACGGTGTCAGAGAGCCAGGAAAAGTATGTCCGAGAACTCTCTGCTCTAACCGAAACCACATACTTCAGTACTCCCTTATTCATAATAAAAAAAAAGGATATATAAAAAAGGAAAGAAAAGCGGGGAGCAATATATCTGTGCAATGAAGTGAAGGCACCGGTATATACATACGCTCGGGTACAATAGAAAAGAAAATACAGCACGTTTGAGTAGACATGGGCGGAATCGGGACCGGGATTGAAAAATCTTTGTCCCGCCCATATCTACGTTGGAGAAATAGGAAAAGTGTACAATATGTATGTCTGTATGAATAAAGAGAAATATCGAGAATGAAAAGGATATGGAAGAGAATGACTGAATGATGATCACGCGTCCGATATGTGAAAGGCTATAGGCTTGTAATAGACAGGGAGAGTAAGAATGAAAAGCTGATATTTTGATTGAAATGAGTTTTAATATGACACAAGTTGGTAGTATGATAGCAATAGTTTTATGTTCTTTTATCTAACACACAGTATATTCGAATGACTTTTTCATCATCACAAGAATTATAGTCACAAAAATTCATTGTGTGATCAAAACAACTTTAATTCCCTTGTAACTTCTAGAAGCCAAGACATATCACATACACATACTCAAACGACTACTAAAAAATACTCTTTAATCAAAAAATTGACTAGAGATCCATGTGGAAATTAGACTTTCGAAAACTATCAGTTTTTAATTACTAACAACATCATCATGTGAATTAAAGAGAAGCAGACTTTTTTCGACAGTTTTCAGTGACTGTACGCCGGTTTCAAGGAGATATGAGTTTCTTTTATTCTGAATAACTGGCCATAAGTGTGTGATATTTATTCCCAAAAGATTTTCACTAGTTTTTGCATTTTTATTATGAAAAAACCATTGTCACAAGATTCAGAATCATCTACAACTTATTTTGAACATTTCCGAGATTGTTCACACGTACTCATATCAGATGTGTATAGGAATACCAAGTCCCTAATGTATCCGTGGCAGACGGAAACCCTAGTTTATGTGGTTGATAATTTAAGTTATCTAACAGAACCAACACACATACTACTGTTCGTTAAATTGGGTACATGGTCATTTTTGAAATAACTTTTGATAGAAATCAGCTAGAAAGCTCCTTTCGCCGTTTGAGAGAGACTTGAGTCGCCATCAGCAGCAGTGTTTCTACAAGGTTTTCCTTAAAATAAATTTTCTAAGAGATTTTTGAAAAATCTGCTTGTGTTAAAAAGTTTTCGATAAAACTATATTGATCTTTTTCCATGAATTGATGTCTCGAAGTATACTCTTCAAAATGGGAGTCAAGCGAGATCTTGATTTCTAGTGGTCTATGTATGGTATTAATTTTCTTAGAGTTGTAGGAATCTTACCCGGTGGCTATAGGTACCCTTGAAAAAGGGTGGATTACCGGTACCCAACTATGCTGAGTCTCGTGACAATATTTGTGCTTAGAAAAGGTTTTTAAACCTAGCCTAAAAACAAGTTTTACGAAAATTGTGATTTTCTGGCAGTTTTTACCTAATATAAAAAAATTTACTGTCTGCTAAAAGAGTATCGGAACGATTTCAAAACTTTAGGAAATTTCGCTAGACATGATTATGAGAAAGAAAAAACTGAAAAACCATGTTTTTTGCCCAAGAGTTTCCTAGAAAAGCTTTTGGAAAAAATCGTAATCTCTAAATTCTGTTCTGTAGATTTCTTACGAATAGAATATAAAATAGTCTAAATACTGTACATCCTGAAATTTTGAACTCATTTTGATATTTTTCTTTTTACAGGACACTTTGGGCTATCAATCTATGAAAAAAAAGTCAATATAGTCCTGTTGAAAAATTTTTGTACACCGCCAGGTTTTCCTAATAAAATCTATTTTAAGAAAATCCTTTTAGAAAAACTTCTACTTATGGAAACTCAAGTCTCTTTCAACCAGCGAGAGAAGCTTTCTAACTGGTTTCTACCAAAAGTTATTCCAAAAATGACCAGTTGCCCTGTTTGGATGAACAGTGTAAAAATGTAGAATGACAACTTAATCGTTTGAAAATTAATGTCATACGTCATCTGTAGCTGATCCGTGATATTTGCATCAGTTGATCACACCATGTTTTGTAAACATCAGAGAATATCGTTTGATGTATGTTTGAAAGAAATCGGAGTT